ATCTCTCCCGTTATCCAAATTGCAGACAAATCCTGACATTTGCCCAGCAGGGTGGGAGAATCACTCACCACAACCTTTCCATCACTCCCCAGCCCTGGATTGTGCTGTGGCATTTGGGAATGGGTGAGAGATGACACTTCTGCCTCCTGTACTCTGGGGACTTGCAAGTGGTGGCTGTGTGAGGAGAGATATTCTGGGACAAGGATGTGGCTCTGTGACAGGATCTCCTGAAGCAGAGCACAGCTATCCCACCTTCCCTCCCTTGGTTTTAGTATAAATCAGTATAAAAGGTTTTTTAACATTGATTCTTCCCCTCCTTTGCTGTGTTTTGAGCCACTGGGAGGCATTTCAGGATTTGGGAATGGTGGAGAAATGTTGGCCCAGGGATGTCTGTGGGATCTTTGTCATTAGTTGAGTTCTTGACACAGACCAACAGTGCCTTTACAGTCTGTGACTATGAAAAATGCCCCTTGTGATCAGCAAAAAACCTAAAAAAATCCCTTGCCATGGAAATGTCTTGGCTGTTTATCCTCATGGCTGAAGTTCTCCCCATTCAATGGTTTAACTCACACACCCTGTGCTCTGAACTCCAGGAGTGCAAATATCCTTCCTCTCCCTGAGCAGGGCTCCAGAGAAAGAGCTGGAGCTTTATTCTGGGGGGTTTTTCCCACTTTTATATATTTTTTTTCTCTCTTTCTCACTGAGAGAACACTGAAATATTCACGTGGGGAGTCTGTGTTGGTGTGTGTTGCTACTCTGAGCCTTTTGACCCTCTGAGAGGTCATGTTATGTCAACAGCAGAGATGGAAAAATGCACTTTATTTTTCTGGCTTATGTCTAATGAAAGCAGAGTGGTTCTCTTTGACTACAGTTAAAAAAATTACCACAAAATAGTAAACAGAAACCAGCTGCAGACAGGATTAGAGGATTCCCTTGACAGTGTCTGTGTCAGTTCACAGGACTCATTTACTCCTCGACCACAAACACAAACACCCTCCAGCAGATCCTCTTTTTTACTTTCTTAATTACAAGAATGACTGACAAATGTTAAACCCTTCCTCTCCCTTGCCCAGTTTAGGATTTTTTTTCCTGTGGCCTCCTAGCTTGGACTTTCTCTTTTCATTTCTTCCAGCTTTGGGAAGCAACACCTACACCCAGAGCTGAGCCACAGGAAACAGACCCCAAGCAAAGCTCTGGGAACTTGTTCTCCTCTGAGGGTTTGTTAAGATAAATCATCAATCTCAGGCTGGGATCATTTTTACAACACCCCCAACCCTTTTTCTCCATCAGTTCTCTGCACGTTTCACCTTAAAAAAAACTCCAAGCACTGTCTTTTATGCTGCTGATAAGAAAGATTATGAAGAATTCCCAGGGCAACACATCAATTTCAGTTACAGGACAAGGTCTGTTCTGTCACTTGTAACATGAAAACTTTTCATCACTGGGGGCTTTCACTGATTTCTGGGCTCTTCCAGCTCTGAGTCTTTCTGTGTCTGTCTGTCTGTCTATCTATCTATCTATCTATCTATCTATCTATCTATCTATCTATATCTATCTATCTATCTATCTATCTATCTATGTATCTATATCTATGTATCTATATCTATCTATCTATCTATCATCTATCTATATCTATCTATATCTATCTATTATCTATCTATCTATGTATCTATCTATCTATCTATCTATCTCTATCTATCTATGTATCTATATCTATCTATCTATATCTATCTATCTATCTATCTATCTATCATCTATCTATATCTATCTATATCTATCTATTATCTATCTATCTATCTATGTATCTATGTATCTATCTATCTATCTATCTATCTATCTATCTATGTATCTATGTATCTATCTATCTATCTCTATCTATCTATCTATCTATCTATCTATCTATTATCTATCTATCTATCTATCTATCTATCTATCTATCTATCTATCTATCTATCTATCTATCTATCTATCTATCTATCTATCTATCTATCTATATCTATCTATCTATCTATATCTATCTATCTATCTCTTTATATCTATCTATCTATCTATCTATCTATCTATCTATCTATCTATCTATCTATCTATCTATCTATCTCCTATATCCCTTTCTCTATCTATATCCTATGTCCCTTTCTAGGAACTGCAAGAGGAGAGCACAAAGCCAGAACTGCAGGTTGTGATTGGGAATGCAGAGCCCAGATTGCCCAGATGACGCACCCAGATCTGAGCCTCTCCCCACAAAGCCCCTGCCCCTTGGCCTTGGTTCTGCTCACAGGAATGAAAACCTGACTTCTTCCAGGAGAAACCTAAGTTCTGACAACCTTGTGTGGTACAGAAGTGTTGTGAGCAGTGAGTTCACACTCCAGCATGCAGAGGAAAAGCAAATATTAGCCTCACTTATTTTCCTGCAACAGGATTATAATTTCCTGGCTTTTTCCACAAACAGCAAGCTAAGGGAGAAGGAGTGTTGGATTATTGGGCTGAAGGACTTTGCACAGACCCTTTGGAATGAAACTTAATCCAGGACAGTAAGAAAAAAACTCCATTCCTTACACAGACTGCAACTGGTACCTTTACACCCCAGCTTCAATCCAGGTTATTTTTTATGGCAGGGATACTTCAGCTGTTTCTCCATCAGCCAACATGGATATTGTGCCTTTCTCAGTATCCTTCTATCCCTCTTGCCCTTCCCATACCTGCACCTCAAGGCTTTCTGCCCTGCTTTATTACACACTTGAATAAACCTAGTGTTTCTTGCCTGGATGCAGCTCTTGGCTGCCAGAGTGGATGTCAGGGGATGTGGAGATCTTGAAGGTGCTGGAGATCACAATGAAGTCAATCTAGGTTTGGGGAAGTTGTGCTGCATGGAATGAGCACAGCTGTCTGAAGAGGTCTGGGCAGCAGTTTTGGAGTGTCTGTCTCATGGGCAATCTGCACTGGAATCATGGAATTACAGGCATTTAGGTTGGAAAAGATCTCTTGGATCATTGAGTCCAACCATGCACCTATAAACGATGTCCCTGCACGGCACCTCCACACCTGTCCAATCCCTCCAGAACTGCTTGGTGGGACCATGTTTTGGTCTGTCCCATGGCCACAGAGCTGCAGAGCCCAGTTCACAGCCATGTGTGCTCTGAGTTCCACCAGGGTTTCCACAAGGAGCATTTTATACACCTGGAAACTCTGATCCCTTCTGCAAGATCACTTCCCTTCCCCTTCCCAACTGGACCTGCCTGCAGGACAGACCCGAGTGTGGCTGTTGTCTTTTGGAAAGTGCTCTGCGTCAAGATGTGAGTCCTTGGCTTTTTTGAGGACTTTTTTAGTGCCACTTGCCAGTTTAATCAGTTTTTTAATCAGCAGCAAATAGGTTTTGAAAGCCCTATAATATATGCTTTAAAAATAACCCAGTAACCCCCAAAAACAGAGGAAAAAACCTCCAGAGTTTCCTTACAAGGAATCAAAGGAAGATGCAAAACCATTCTGGAGCCCAGAAGATTTCTTAAATCCAAAGCAAATTTATTAACAACAGCTCTGTGCGGGCAACCACATTTGCAGATAAAAAGTGTGTTTAATGCATTCTCCCAAACCCTTTCTGAGTATGTTTCAGTCATCTTGGCAAGCAGCATTCCAACGTGCTGACATCCTGGCCAGCACCAGCCAGGCCCTTGGGGGCTCCTCCTTAGGAAACAGCTCCAATCCAGCACATCCCAGCACTGGCCAAGAGGAAAAAATCTGAATTTTGGGGGGTTTTTCACATTAACAACAGGTTTTTGTGTGAATTGATAAATCTTGATAAAACCACTAGAGGTTAATTGAAAAAGAACAGTTATTTGTAAGATTGAAAAAAGCAGAATTTTAAAAAAATGGGAAATAAAACCCCCAAATCTTTCTTTTCATGTTTAGGTAAGGCTGCTTTACATTTTTCTTAGTGGTCCATATTGTTGTCTTACTAACTAAAGCTCCTTACTAACTAAAGCTGAATAAAATCTTACTTTATTTTTCCTGTGATTTTGCCTGTGTTTTAAGATAGTCAGAAAGCATAAAAGCAGAAGCCCTTTCCATAAAAAAAAAAAAGCTGAAATTGAGCAAGTCACAGATTTTAGTTTCCATGCTTGAAAACCCCAATATTTAATGGCAGAGCCCGACTCAGAGTGATGAGCCACATCCCTCACCCTGAGATATAGGTATGAAATTAGTATTCTGCCTTTACATCCTGCAACTGCATCAAAGGTAACTGAGCAAGGTTTAATTAAAATTCTAATTACTTCTTTATATTCCAGCAAAGCAGAACAAATCCCCAGCTTTGCTCCTCTTTGGAATGACAACTGGAGAATAAATATTCATGGTGGCTGAGCCAGTGTTGGGCCAGTGGGCTCAACGCGTTCCCAGAAAAGATGCAAAGCAGGGCAGTATAAAATTGGTTGGAAGGATCCTCACTGATGTCTCCTGACGGGTCATATGAAAAATTGGATTAGAAGATTAACTTTGTTTGGAGTTATGGTATCTCACAGGATGAATTTCCTGATAGGGAAATGATGTTTTTTCCTTAGAGGGGAAATCATCAGTGCTGAGCACTCCGTGAGATCTGTGAACAGCTGCTTCAACCCTGAATGTATTTATATCCTGACCTTTTATACATTTAAGTCACCTGGCTGCAAACATAAACACACAAACTCCTAAAGATCCTGTTCCTATAGCAGAGATGGTCACAAATATCTGCTCAAGCTCACAAAGAGGATTTTCTGTGGGAAAAGTACAAGCCTGTTTCCCTGGTTTTCAGAATTTTGTTTCTCATCACCAGAGACATTTGGTCTCATTTGAGCATTTCTTTCACGCTCCCTGCTTTGTGGTGGTGAGTGTTTTGGTTTTTTGACAGCTTTGCAGGACAAAATTGTTCCCTCAGAGCTTTTCTGATCAGCGTTATCACACACAGCCACAAGCACAGCCCTCCCTGCGCAGAAGGCTCTGGAAGACACACAGGGGTTGGCTCTACTTACCAAGAGGCATTACTACAAAAAATGGGAGCCAGCAGAGAACGAAGCATCCTACCACTATTCCCAGGGTCTTGGCAGCTTTCTTTTCCCTGGAGAACTTGAGCAGGCGCACAGAGAAGTGGTGCTTGCTCTTGGGGTTGGGCGCGGAGCCGCTCGCACCGGGTGCGTTTTTGCGGTGGATGCGGAGGGTCACCTCCTCGGAATGGGATCTCTCCGTCTTCAGCCCAGAGCTCAGCCCTTTGTTTTCCCTTTTGGCCACCACGTAGACGCGGCAGTACATCACCAGAATGATGATCAGGGGAAGGTAGAAGGAGCCCAGCGCTGAGAACAAGACGTAGCCAGGCTCCTCGGTGATCTGGCAGATAGTCTCATCCTCGGGGGCTGGCTCCTTCCAGCCAAAAAGGGGCCCGATGGAGATGACCAGGGACAGAGCCCAGACACACAGCAGGGCCAGGAGGCCCCTCCTCTCGGTCACTATGCTGGGGTATCTCAGCGGGTAGCTCACCCCGATGTACCGGTCGATGGAGATGATGCAGAGGCTCATGATGGAGGCAGTGCAGCAAAGCACATCAACAGCTGCCCAGATGTTGCAGAAGATCCTCCCAAAGACCCAGTAGCCCAAAATCTCCATGGTAGCTGAGAAAGGCAGGACGGTAGAAGTCAGGAGGAGGTCAGCTACAGCCAGGTTGATGATGTAATAGTGGGTGACACTCTGGAGGTGTCTGTGGCAGGCTACGGACAGGATAACCAGGATATTCCCCAAAACCCCAAAAACAATCAGCCCCCCTAGAATAACACCCAGTAAGATGGCCTTGGAAATGTTCACGGGCTCCACAGAGTGGGTGCAGTTGGAGCACTCGGAGGAGTTTCCAGGGAGGAAAGCCATGGCTGGAAATGTCCATGTGAGGCTGCTGAACTTTCCAGGCAGGAACAGGGACAAGATCAGTTCTTGGAAGGTCCTATAGGCAACATTTGCCTGGCCTTGCTGGGGAATAGAGTTTTGAAGAATGTCTTAAAACTGCAGCACCAGCAGCAATAAGAAAGATCCAGAAACATATTAGAAAACCTACCTTTGCTCCTACGCTTTCACCAGAATAGCACGGTTGATACTCACCAGTATCGAGTCAAATTTAACTCCTTCTGCATTTTCCTTGGGGTGCACAAATGGGGCTACACAAACCTGAGGCTGTTTATCCCACTTTCCATGGTTATGTGATGAGAAGTACTGGAGCTGCAGGTTAAAATCATTTCTGTATTTTGGGGAAGGCTCTGTATTTAAGGAAAGTAAATATTCCAAAGGGCCTCCAATTTAGCTTCTGAGAGGAAATCACCGACACTTTTCACTGCCTGGTGTCAATCCTGATTCTGCCTTAAAATTGGCTTAGAAACCTGACTGTGTAGAGGTTGCTGCTGTGTCTGCCCAGCAATTTTCTTTGAGATACCCATCCTCAGGGTCTAGGCTGTCAGTCAGAGCTTTCCATACTTGGAGCACTCATCAGTCGAGGTCCTGGGCCGCAGATTAAAGCTCATTTACATCAGCTGGCTCTGAGGGGGAAGAGTGGAGTTTGCTGTGTGCACAGGGCCGTGCTCTTGCGCTCTCTGCAGATCCTCACCCCCCTGGAGAAGACAAAAACACGAACAATGCGATTCCCAGAAGCCACACTCGCTGCTAGGGTTCCCATATAAGAATAGAGCAGGAGGCTATTTTAGGGCGCTTTCCTCAGGCTGCCTCCAGCCAGTGGAACCAACCTTTTCCAGCCCAGCATTGTTTAACAGCAACTGAGAGATCCAAGTGGGTTTTCCTGCCTGAATTTTCCCTTTTATATGGCGATAGGCATCAATCCTAATTACCAGCTCATCTGCAGAGACCAGCTTTAGGAGAGACAGAAGCCTGCAGGACACAATTCAGGACTATACAAACTGTGAAGCAGATTTAGAAGCCCAGGATTTAATCTCAGCTTTCTTTATTAAGTGAGACCTTTCCCCACTGAAGTGTTAATTCAGCTGAGCTGCCCATTTTGAAAATCTATAGGGAAAAGCAATTCCAAAGCCCAGCAGAAGACGTTGCAAGGAGCAAGCCTCCTAGTGAGTAACACAACATTTCAGAGTATCTGGAAGCCAAGCTCAGCCTTTGCTGACTAAATATGGAGAAAAGGTACCTCGGATGGAAAAGTGAGGATTAGCCTGGGAACCAAGACCTGGGGGGCACGGAGAGGAGGGCTGCAAGTGGGAGCTGCAAAACCTTTCCCAGCACCTCCATGTGGATATATAATTCCCATCTCAAATATTAATCAGATGTGAAAAATCACCATGAAGACTTTGGCTGTAAAACCCCAGATGAGGAATGACTCTCTAAGTGTCCATGGGATGAGTCCCTCAGATTGTGCTTTAAGCAGCAACAACTGTCCCCTTCCCAAACCTCCACCCTGAACTTCCCTGCAGTTAAAGCATTTCAAACCCTTGAAGCCCTGAAATTCCCAGCTCACAGCCAGGGAGGAGGGAGGGAAGGGGGAGATGGATAGGTATCACACTGTGGGAATTCTACTTCAGTGCACTAAAATGAAATTGGATCTTTTATTTTCTTTCCCGCCAGACGGAACAAGTTGAGGAATAATCCCAAGGAAGAAAAGGACAGATTATCTAAGCATGAAAAGTGAGTGTTGCATGGAGCATCTCTGAGCATGATAATTGTGGTCATTACAGGGTACAAAATGAGGTCATTATAGGGCTGAGAGAAAAGTGAGAAATTATTAATTTGACTTTTAAGCACATGAAGAAAAACTTCCCAGCAATTCAAGGAGATGCAGCAGAAAGGACTGAGAGAGATTTCCATGCTCCAAACCAAATAATGCCCAGCCTGTGGAGACAGCTGATGCTGGGAAGAGCAGACCCCAGGCTCCCGTGCCTGCCCCACACTCACCTCTTTAGTCTCCAGAAGGCAGCACAGCTCCTCTGAGCATCTGGGAAGGAGATTCAGCACAGCAGGCTCCTCTTTCACACAGGGATGGGACTCCGTGCCTGGAAATCCTCTGCTTCCCTCCCTTTATGTTCCCACTGGTATTCCAGCAGCTGGCAGTGGGGCTGATTCCCTGAATCCCGTGGCTGTGGGGGGCTGGCTCCAGGCTCCCTGGAGGGACCCGAGCCCGGATCAGAGCTCAGCTCCACACTGGGAAGGAGCAGCAGGAGCTGTGCTGCCCTGCTGATGTAGCAGAGCAGCAGTCTCACCATTACCGTAATTCACTGCCACTCCCATATTGCCCAGAAAGAAAGAGCACTCTCAAGCGTGGTTTTAAATCTTCTTTTCTTTTTTCCCACTCAGACTCCTGGTTCCTGCAGAGACCAGAGAGTGGAGGGCAGATAACAAGCTCCTGTTTATGAGATAACAAGAAATTTTGGGGATCTAAAAAGAGAACTGCAGGACAAACGGAACAAGGAGATGAAGGCAGGACACACTGCCTGGGGTTCTGCATGGTGGGACAAAGCACAGCTGACTGGAGATGGGGGTTTAAGGAGGAAATTCCTCCAGCACATTGTGCTGTTGAAGGGAGGTTGATTTTCACGTGGCTCTTGATTGCAGTTTAAAAAAAAATGTGCCCGAAGAAATCCCCGATGAAGAACAGATACAAAAGTGATGTCCTGAGGTGGACAGAGTGGGATTTCACAGCCAAAGGCCAGCAAACCCTGTAGCCACAAGGTTTGTCCTTGTTCTTGCATGACAGACCCTCCTCCTCCTCCTCCTCCTCCTCCTCTTCCTCCTCCTCCTGGGCAGAGAGGGAAACTTTGGGCTCTTGGGTTCAAGAGTTTCATGGACAGAGGTAGATCCGAGTGATGCTCAGATTCCCCCAGGAGAGTACTGAAAGCAGATCTGGGCTTGCCAGCAGCCCTGATCACTGCTCCAACAAATTCAGAGTGCCTGCTTGCTGCTGGGACAGCCACTGCTGCTGGAGGAAAAATGATAAAAGCAGCTCCCAGGAAGCTGGAATTTGTGCAGGTTGGGCAAAGAGTTTGGGACAGCATAGTGAATGCTGCAGCTCCAGCTTCACCATTGTTTGCTGCCTGTGTGAGGATAAAAAACCCCATGAGAACAAACAGCAAAGTGAGGGGGTGGGGGGAAAAAATTCAAGTTAATTTTGAGGAACTTGCAAACTATAAAAATGAGGTGATTTTTAAATGTTCAGCTGCTGTTTCTCCACAGTTTTCTTGGCACACGTGGCCCCTGTTCCGTTGCACATAAGGTCTTCCACTGGTTTTTGGAGGCTGCTTGGAGGTCTTGTCCTTCCCTGAGTAACAAAGGTGCTGGGACAGAGCAAACCCTAAATGGATGAAGGGATTCTGGAGTTATTAAAGACCCTTGAAGGCTGTGATTCGAGCAGGTTCATTTTAGATGCCTATCTTCAGATGAGCTCTGTTTTCATCGATCCATTGGGAAATGAGTTGAAATGACTGGGAAAGGAGTTGAACCCCACTCTGGGTTTTGTTTCTACTGGTACTCACTCTGCCATACTGGTGGCTTGTTCCAGGCTCTTAAATGCATGACGGAAATAAATACATTTATATTCATGGCTTTAGTCATTAATATACTCAATATATCAGCTCATCTGTGAGTAATGCCCTTGTTAGGGGACATCTCTCCAGAGTGGAGGGAAGCAGAAGGAAGGGACTGCAGATTTTTTCCTAAAATCCTCAGAGAAAAATGAATTTATGGCAGTGAAGAGCTCGTACACCTGGAGACCACCAAGAGCCTGAGGTCAGAGGGTCACTAAACACAGTGCAGGGTGTCCCCAGGCAAGGAGGGACAGGGCAGGATTTGTGCCACATCAGCCTTGGTGAAGCTTTGTGCTTGGCTCTGGCAAGACATGCTGGAATTGTCTTTGTCCAGTTTAAAAGTCTGGGATGAATCAAAGTTTGGGAGAAAGCAGAGAGGGATGCAAGTCTAGAAAACAAAAGGAGAAGCTGTGGGTAGCACCCACAAATCAGATCCTGTGTGGTGTTGTTATTGATAAACTATGAGTAATTAATAATTGAAAATAATAGTATTTTATAAATAATAATTTTATTAAGATAAAATTATTTTATATTTATATATAATATACAAATATATAAACAAATACATTTTAACTATATAATATATAATAATGTGCATATATGTCACATATATTTGTGAATGTATTATCTGAAAATATATAAATTATTATATATAGCATATATTATATAATTTAATGTTATATATATAAGTATATATTTATCAATAAATAAATAAATATATTTCTATTTTCTATATAAATATAGAAATATATATTCTTATATGTAAACATTTATATTATTAAATTTTCTTAATGTAGATATTAATAAATAATTATTAATATTATTGATAACATATGAATTAATTATAATTATGAATAATTATACTCATTAGGACGAGAGGGTCCCTAGGGAGAGCTCCTGGCAATCCACAGCAGCTCAGCTATATCTGAGCTAAAAAATGTTAAAATCAGAGCCTTAAATCCCAACTTTTGGGCAGCAATTGTGTTTTCATTACAAGTATCTCATGAAAAGGCCCGAATCCAATTGTTTGTGTGTCTGATGGCATTTGATGAAGTGTTGTTGGTAATCTGCTCAGCTCAGTGCCAGACCATGCAGGCAGCTGGCCCAGGAGTGAGGGAACTTCTCTGAGGTGCTCCAGGCCTTGCAATGATTATTTACTTGCCCAGAAAGAAGTGAAAATGGTGGTTTTGATGAATCATCCCTCACATTTCAGCGAGGGTTTGACTTCTGCTTGGATAAGAAAGCCCACCCAAAGGCAAGAGATGTTAAATGTTGTCTATTAAACTCGAAGCTGGACTCATTCCACTGTCTTTTAGGACTAGGACAGCCTGAAGCTTTTAGCATGGCTGAGTTGAAGATAAACTGGGAAATTCTGAGTGTTTAGAAAGGAAAAAACCCAACCCAGCATAGGGACTCCGAGTGAGCATTCAAAATGTGGATTAAAAAGTGGACTGGGCATAAAAAAAGGCTGAAATTTTCAAACAAGGTAGATCTGTCTGTGATCTCATACTTAATGATAATATGTCCAAGTATTAGAGGTTTCTCTGTCTTGGGATTCATAGGGACTTTTCACCATGTTCCTAAATCACTTAAGCACAGGCTGGTTAAACATGATTTATGTTTTTGCATTTATTTATGCTTTTGCATAAATCAAGGCAGCCTCATTAAAACTCAGGGTACCTTCTTAATTCTCCACAGATGAAGATTTGGGCCACTGGATTTTGTGTACAGCTGAAGCTCTGAAAGCTGCCTAATTACTGAGAGGAGCTGTTAAATGTTTATTCCTGTGTAACTCACAACAAATTTCCTGGTTTGATTTATTAGCTGGATGATCTGATAAAAGCTGCCCACATATGGGGGACACGGCTCTTTTGCAGCCTCAGGAATATCGATTTTACCTAGAATTGGAATAAATCCACCCAGAGATGAGTGCTTGCCTCAGTTTCCATCCCTCCCCTCCCTCCTTCCCCATCCTGGCACTGCTGCTTCCCTCGGCTGAGAGTTCATACCAGTTTTCTGAGCTTTAGCTCAACATTCGTCTTTAATATGCAAAATAGTTGGGGGAAATTGAAGATGTGTCTAAATCATGCCTTTCTCAGACTCATTTAAATCCTTCCTTCATTCTTTCATCTGCTGCCTGCCCACCTGTGAGAAGCCACGAGATCCAATGCCCTGGAACACGTCCTCCATCCCAATGAATTGATTTCATCACCAAGGCATCTCCCTTTCCCAATCCAGCTTTTGGCAAGGCAAGGTCCCCCTTAGGGCCAGAGCTCTGACAGTGTGTCCTGTGTGGCACATCCAGCTCTTTGTGCAGTGCAGGTCACAATCCCCAGAACAGAAATAAACCCAGAGTTCTGCTTTATCTTTCCTGGATCTGAGCTAGATTTAGGCCTGGTCCTGTGCCTCAGCACTCACCACAGGCCTCTAAGATTTCCTTACCATCAAGGGCACACAGTGCAGTAAATCTCTTAGGGAAACATAGCTCTGAAAAACCCCAGGGAAGAAATTCTGTCTTTATTCTTATTCCAGAGGGGTTGGAAGCTGCTGTGAGTGTATTGTCTCGTTTTGGCGGATTGTCCAGGCCCAGAACTCTCTTGCCACATGACTTTGTGTATAATTCTGTCATCTCTGCTGAGCCTCCACCTCCCTCCTGTGCTCCCAACTGCAGTTTGCGTTTAAACAATCCTCCAAGCAGCCCAGCCCACAGTGATGCTACATTTGACAAATGGAGCCTCTCATCTCCAAGGAGCTGTGGTACTTGAGGACTGTAAATGCAAAGCTTGTGTCACCCTCTGCCATCCCTGGGCAGCAACTGCTAGGAAAAAAAATTGTTTAGGGGACAGATGGGAAAGAATGTGCTTTTAGTGATGTATCAGTCTTTCCATAGGCACATATTTACCCATTATTTGCTTATCACCACATCTTGTCTGAGATCCCCTTGGAAGGAAAGGGGCCCGAGCTGATGACAGCAGAAGTCAGCAGCTTGGGAAGGAATGTGGCAGCAGAGTCCTCTTGGCTGTGTGTCCCTGTGAGCAGAGCTGGCCAGGGCAGGGAGGAGATCCAAAGCCCCCCAAGTCAGAGGAAGCAGCTGGAGCCCCAGAAATGTCTGCTGAGCTCACTGGGCCCTTTCTCTCACGGGTAGGCACTGCCATGCCAGGACAGATCAGGCTAATTTAGGAGCCTGTCACACAGCGGGCAGCACAGGATGTTCCAGACAAAGAGACATTTGTAGAACAAGCCCACAAGTCTACAGAAGACCAGACAATCAACATCATACATGTGCAAGACCTCTGGAGCTGCTGCTTTAACCTTTCCCAGGCCAACCTGTTGCCCTGGCAGGCTCCTCCTCAGCTGGTGGGTTTGGCCAGGCAGAGGATGAGCCACTCCTGTCTCCTGCTGCACTCCCTGCTCCTTCTCACACCTGCTCTCTTGTGTCTGAAGCACAACCCCTTCAGCCCAGCCCTGAACAGAAGAGAGCATTAATTAAGATATTTGTTCCTAATTAAGGTATTAAGGTATTGCCATAACACCAACAAAGAGCTGGGCTTTATTCTCTCTCTCCTGATGGGTTTTGTAGCATTGGGTGTAGGTGGTGAGGTGATGCTACCTTCCTAAAAACGCCTCCAGAGAGGAGAGTGTCTGGGCTACAATCACAATCACACTCACACACACACTCACAGACACACACTCACGGACACACACTCACACTCAAACACACACACACACACTCACGGACACACCACAGACAGCTGACAGCCCAGAGCCAGGAAAGGTCCATGTATGGAGCTCCCATGGGGTTTATTGCAGCCACACACTGAAGGGGCCCAGGCACAAAGACAAGGAGCAATGGAGGGGCCAGGGATGGGCTGGGGGGGTGGAGCTGAGGGTCAGGGTCCAATAGGAACAGAGTAAATTGGTGCATAGGCGGGGCCAGGGGGAGGGGGAGCCAATGGGCTCACAGGGGTGGAGCATTGCAGCAAACTGGGGCCAATGGGGGAGCAGGGAAGGGAGAACTTTCTAGAGAAAGGACGTATAAGGTAAAAAAGGGGAGGGACAGCCCACAGACCAGCTGGGTACATAGAACTGGGGTACAGTAACATGGTGGTGCAAAGAACTATGGGAAAAGCTTTTTCCTACAAACTTTATGTGGGGGAAAACCTTCCTTTTATGCTTTAATTTCATACCTTAGAGGCCTCCTTCCACACCATCACTGCCTCTGTGCTCCAGGGTCTCCACAGGGTCTTTCCAGCAAGAAGCTCAAGTTAGAAGCTTCCATGCACCTTGTACTGCAACCAAAACCATTTTCCATTTCTTCTTTAATCTGCACTAATTGCCTTAAATTAAGGCTGTCTGTAGAAATGTACACAGTTTGTATATTTGATGGGATGCCAGCAGACATAGGTGCTTGAGAGACACCAGACAGATTTTTATTCCCTTAAAGGAACAAGCTGGAGCTTTCTTCTGAAGGACGTGAGCATTTTAATGATATGTTTTCTTCTGTCTTTTTTTTTTTTTTTTTTTTTTTTTTTTTTTTTTTTTTTTCTTTCTTTCTTTTTTTCCTGGCTCTCTGATGGTTATTACTAAAATACACACACCAATAATTCCCTTCCTCTGAGCCAGGCTCTCATGGCTGCAGAATGCAATTACCACAAATTAACGTCTCAGGGAAAACAAAGAGACAACAAAAAGCTCAAAAAAACCCAAACAAACCTTCCCAACTACTTGGGGAATTTAAAACTCTACTTAAAGCACCAGACAGGCAAGGGTGGTAATCAGATTTGCAAAGCAAAATGATTTTACACATTAAAGAGCACCAGGGGAAGGGATTCTCCTGCTCTGCCCTGCTCAGGTGAGACCTCATCTGCAGAGCTGCCTCCAGATCTGGGGACATCAGGAGGATGTGGAGCTGCTGGAGAGAGGCCAGAGGAGGCCATGGAGATGCTCCAAGGGCTGAAGCCAGGCTGGGAGAGCTGGGAGTGTTCACCTGGAGAAGGGAAAGCTCCAGGGAGAGCTCAGAGCCACTTGCAGAGCCTGAAGGGGCTCCAGGAGAGCTGGAGAGGGGCTGGGGACAAGGGATGGAGGGACAGGACACAGAGAATGGCTCCTACTGCCACAGAGTAGGGCTGGATGGGATATTGGGAGGGAATTCCTGGCTGGGAGGGTGGTTATAAATTCTAATTGAAAATGGGAAAGGCACCACAGACTGTTCCATGGGTATGGATGGGTTTCTGTCCAGAGGAACAGAGGGTTTTGTGGCTGGGCCAGTAGCACTCAGGTTCTGATTTCGTGGCAGTGGAGAGGCAGCCTCAGGAGTTGTCTCCTGGGTTCTGTTCCCAGCTCCCCAGCAGACATTTATGTTGCCTATGCTTTAAGGTAGTCAGAATTTACTGTTAATGAAAACAGTATTTCTTAGCATTGCACGGTTGTTAATGTTCAATAAATGCCTCCTTATTTCAGAGCTGTAAGATGTCAGCAATTCCCTTGATACCCCTTATATACAATATATATACATATATATATATATATGTATGGGGTTTTTTTTAAATTTTTTTTTCTATGAAGTGCTCTCTGGGTTTTAGTGCAGTGAGGAACTCTGGCTTGGGCATGTGGCAAAGTGATTTGTAGAGATGTTCTGTGGTCCTTTGTGAGCTGGCACATGGTTGTTGATGTTCACACAGGACTGGGCTTTGATTTAGGTGCTCTTGATCACTCTTGGAAAGATGACCAAAATAGCAAGAGTCTTTATAGCTGCTGGGTTGGAGCATTTTCCCTGGTTTGTGGTGGTCACTCCACAGGCAGATAAGTCCTAATCATATCCTTGTCAGAAAATCCTCCTTCCCTGGAGCTTCAAAACCCACATGTGTAGAAATGTGGATTTCTCAGGCTGTTCTCTACCTTGAAACTGGTGCCCACCAATGCCCCCAGTCTGGGTGGAGTCAGTGCCAGTATTTTGGTCTTTATATACCAAAGAATGGACCCAAACCAAAGATATTCCCTCCAAAAATAATTCAGACAAACACTACACAGAATTCCTGTGACTCTGCTTGAGAGAAACCCATCTCAGGTGCTGGGTTTTGCAATTAAACCTTGTCCTAAAGTCAGTGTGATGCAAGGAGGGGCAGGAAGTGGTGACACCTCTCATTTTTAATGCCTGGTTCTAGGCACAGTACTAAGTACCAGGAGGAAAGGACTAACTGCTGACTTATTTAAGTTCTTGTTTCATAATCAAAAATTCCCTTGCCAAGGACAGTGATCCAGCAGAGGTTTGAATTTACAAAGTGTCTGTGTGGATTTTCTGAGCCTCTCTAGGGAGTGTTGCTCCTTTTGCTGTTTGTTTGACTGCTGGTTTATCAGGCTGAGATGAAAAATGTCCCTATTGCCTAATATTTGAGCCTGGTTTGTTTAGGATTAATTCTACCACTGCTGCTGCTGCTACTACAACTAATAATACAACACCAGAGTTCCCAGTATCTAGGGATACACATTTTCTAAACCTTATCTCCAAAAAGCTGGGGTTCAAACACTGTCTTATTTTAGCAAAAGAGATATTAATTTTAGATTATATTTTAAAACTGTAAAAATCATACCCATCACTCATCTTTCTTGTGCCTTGCAGGAAAATAACAAATGTCATGAAATGCTGGAGGCAGCTCCAGCTCTGGAATGTCACAAACTCCTCAATTCTGCATCAAACAGCCCCTATGAAATAAGATTTCACTGGGGAGTGGGGGTAACCTGAGACACAGAGATTAAATAATGTCTTCCCTGAGCACAGAATTGACCCCAGACATCCCAAATAACCTCCTGCTCTGCCCTCTTGGCTTTTCCATTCTTGTTGGTGCCACAAGTCTGAGCCAGCTGTAAAACTTCCGCTGCTTTGGGTTCCCATCAAGACTCGGAGCTGGTCTGCACAGAATAATGGCCCTGTCACAGCCCAACGTGGTGCCTTTAAATTCAGTGCTGGTGACCCCTGGCAAGGTACAAGGGACACTTGCTGCTGGAATTACTCCTTGGATATGTTCCTGTATTTATTTCTCCCCATATGCTACAGCGTACTTCACAAATATGACATTTATTTGAGATCGAGGTAACAAATAGAACAGGAGTATGGGAAGAAAAGGATGAATCATAAAATGAATCATGGAGTGGTTTGGGTAGGAAATGACCTTCAGGATGATCCATCCCTACCCCTTAGCCATGGCAGGGACAGCTCCCCCTAACCCAGGCTGCTCCAAACCCCATCCAGCCTGGCCTTGGACACTCTCAGGGATCCAGGGGCAGCCACAGCTTCTCTGGGAATTCCATCCCAGCCCCTCCCCACCCTCACAGGGGACAATTCCTTCCCAATATCCCATCCATCCCTGCCCTCTGGCAGTGGGAAGCTCCTTGTTTTCTCATTCCCTTGTCCCCAGTCCTTCTCCAGCTCTCCTGGAGCCCCTTTAGGCACTGGAAGGGGCAGTCTCTGTGTGTGTTCACTCTCTCAGGCTGAGGATTTGCTGACTTATTCCATGTAATGTGGCATATTGGGAATGTCTTTGTTTTAAACAAAGCTGCTGCCTTGCATTTAGCTCCATTTAAAGTGTTTAAAAGCAGCTGCTTATTTGTGGTCAGCTTAAAATTCACTGTAACTCCATTAGGAAAAGAAAAAAGCTCAGAATGAGAAATAATTAAAGCCCTTTTAATGTGTTATAGGAGGGTGTGGGGGGGAGTGGAAGATCAGTGCAAGCTCTTCCAGGTTTCAGATCAACTTTATTATTTGGTGCAAATGAGAATGTCTTGAACAAATTCATTAGAGGTCCTGGTGGTCCCTGAATTTCACTGTGCTGATGTGACTGCAGCTGTGGGAAACAGGGAGCTCTGACTCCTCAGGTGTTCCCCACTGCCTGCAAACCATCCAAAACCCACGGAAAGCAGCAGCAGCATAAGAAAATTGGGGCTTTTTTTGGTCCAAAGAACAATCCTGATGGCTGCATCATCAAAAACAGGACAGCTGCTGTTTTGTTCATAAAAACCCCAGATGGAGAGCATCTCCCAGCTCTGCTTGCAGCTTTATTCCTTTTGGTTTAATCTTGATTTTGCTGATGTTTGTATTCTAGCATTGCAAGAGGCAAGAGTTCAACAACTCCCCTCTGAAATAGGACATTTCTCTTTATTCCCAGCTAGGAGCATTCCCAACATCCTGGGAATGCAGCCTGCACACCCAAGCAGCACATCTGACAACAAATCTCCTTCTCAGGAAGGCAGCCTCCTTTCCTGGTGCTCCAGAAGATTGCATTTCATCTGCAGGAGTTCTGGAAACAGCATTTGGGTATTACAGTAAATATCTCTGTGGGTGGAAAACAATCCAAGGAAAATTCTTCCCTCTCTGCAGTCAGGCAGGGACTGGATCCATTCATTTACCTCGAATTGCTCTGGTTTTGTAACACAGGTTTCGCTGCAGGGAACAGGTACAATGATATCCAACAGGCAGCACGCAGGAGAGAAAAGCAGTGTACCCATTTTCCATTTGCATGGATTTATTGCTAGTTCAAGATGCTCTCAGGGAGCTGGTGTGGTGGGGAATTACGGTTTTTCTGGTTAGCAGCCAGGCACAGCAGTGAGCTGGGATCAGCCTGGCTTACCAGGGAGGCAGACTTTCACCATTATCCCAGTTCTAATTCTGCATTCATAGATATTTCCTGACACCGACTCACCAGACTGGGAAGAGGTCCAGGACTTCAGACATCAAGGTCAGGAAAACACATGATGAAGGTGCCTGTCAAGACCTCCTGCCCGAGCTGGATTTGGTCAGGAAGCCCCAAAAGAAAGCAGGAAGATCTCATGAAGCCAGGGTAATTTCTGCCAGCTCAGGCCTGTCTCACACCTTGTGGAGTCAATCCTGCTGATTGGGAGAGCGGATGGGCAAAGCAAGATGTGATCACTGCAGCTGGGGATTGAGGGGAAAAAGCTGGTTCCAAAGTTAACCAAGAGATCCATCCCTGACCCAACTTTCTCTCACACCGAGGACTCTCCCATGGATGGAGCAGGGAGGGGCTCAGTTTTTGTTGAAGTGAAGCAGCAGGAAGAGGGATCAAGGCTCAGGGGACAGCAGGGACTGCTGAGCTGGCAACTTGAGGAGTTTTTCAAAGCCTGTGGTTTAACCCTGGATGAATTCACATTTTCTGAGTAATCTCCAAAAGCAAAGCTCGTTGCCATGCAGCAGCAGTGCTCCCAAATCCCAGTCTTCCCCAGGAGCAGTGACTGCCCAGCTCCAGCCAGAGCCTCCAGGCTGCACCAAGGCAAGGAGCAGAGCCTTGTTTTGGGAGAAAAGCTGGAAATCCAGACAGCCTTGAGAATCCTGGTGTTATAAACGAGGCTCGAGACTTTTTGGTGTAATTAAAGCCTGGCCTGTTTATTAATACTGAGCTGCAGCTGAAGGGAGACACAGGCTAGTCCCGTGTGCTCCACGCTACAGACCGGGACAGTAACAACGTATCGAACAAAACTTACGAACAACAACGGAGAAAAAACCCCACAAGAAAAGAAAGAAAAAAAGCCCCGCTAACATGTAACACCCTTTTTTTATATCCTCCCTTAGGCTTGGATTGGTCCGTTTTGGATCCGTCTCAGGATTGGCTGTTTTCTTGGGCTTTGATTGGTCCATAGCCATGTTCATCCTGGTCCAATCATTTTTCTAGGGCGTCAAATGATTGGTGGATATTTCTTCCAATCCTTACTCACTCTGCTGATGACATCATGTTCCTGAATGTTCCATTCCATGTCCCCATAAGCCCTTTTATATCTCTTACCAATCCCCCATTTTATCCGCCCAACCCCCAATCCAATACCAACCCCGAGCATTCTAAAATACACTCAACAATTATCTTAACAATCTTACAACATAATTAAACATATCAATTAACTCTCTAACAGTAACAACTTTAATTAACCTCCCAAGTTCAAGGAAAAGATCCCTTATAACACTGGGGGGAGAGGATCAGGCTCCATTGCAAGGAAAGGAGCAATTTGAAGAGAATAACTATGGATTTCTACAGCAACACTGCTGATTTCTCTTGTTCAAATCCATGGGTTTAAGAGCTGCTGTGAAGGGAAAGGGAGCTGTGAAAACCTAAAGCTTTTTGCCTGCAGCAAATTTATCCAGAGGCTACATTATATCCAGGGTTTCTTCCTTCAGATAATTTGTTGGCAAAGCAAATGCAGCTTCAGCAAGGTTGGGCTTTTGTTCTCAGTAAAATAACTTGGCTGGAGGATCAGCCTTTGACTGTAAGTGTTCCTGTCATCTCACAAAATATTTGAAATAAAAGGATGCTGGACTGTTCTTTTAGAGTTGGGTCCAAGAACCAGCTCCAAACCTGAGCAGTATCTGAGCTCTCAGGGCTCAGACACGGCTCAGATCTTTAAATCTTTCTGGGGCTGATTTGGTTTTTCCCTGGATGCTCCATGTGCTGGTGCCAGCCAGGGAATTGTATGTCTGTGAATGATGATGTGCTTTTGGTTGTAGACCCCAGTCCAGGGGAGGTTTTACTGCAACAAAACCTTTTCCCACAGTTAGTTTTCCCAAGGAAAGGGAAACTTTGAGCTCCAGATTAAGGGGATGGCCAGTCAGTAACACGGACAATGCCTGAGAAAGGTGAAACCACACTGTGCTGATGTGACCTGACAGTATTTTTAAAAGAAGGATGGGAAAGAATTATCTGTTTTGATGAAGAAATTATAAAAATACATGGAAAAAGGGAGAAAGTGTTTAATTGTATAGGTAATGTACACAAATGTGTAGTTGACACCAGAAATCAGGTGAAGGAGAAACTGTATGTTCTAGAAATTCATAGGAGTTCTTGGAACTTCCCTAATCCCAAGAATAGACTGGGCTTGGAGGGGCACAGGAGAGAACAACAGCCAGGAAAGTTCTGAAATGTATCCATTGATCCACCACACCCTGATTTGGAGAAAGACTTGAACCCACAGCAATTGAAAACGAAACCCATTTTGTCATTTGTATTTTGCTCAGTAATAGGATTTCTGGAATGGACAGCCTTGAGAGGGGCAGCATTAGGAGCCTCTTCCCATGTAATCAAGCTGTAAAAAATCACTTTTGTCAGGACTGAAGGGATGTTCCTCCCAAATCAACCTGCACTGAGATCCTCCACAGCCCATCCCTCCCTGATGGGATCTGATCCCAGATCCCCACTTGCTGCTGGGGCAAATCTTTACATCCTAATTGTTACGCTGTCAAACAATTATATTAATTAGTGCTCCTCATCCTCCTACCCCACGTGCCTGGCAGATTTCCACCGATACTTTCAGCCCATTGTGCAGTCAAGTAAAAAATGCAGCTCTGAGACAGAGAACAAGTCCTGCTGTGCACAGATTACATTTGCTGTAGATTTTTCTTTCCCAGACTGTCAGATAGCTACAAACTGTTCATACTCAGGTTTTAATGAATAGCACAACTCAGCTCTTAAAATGGCTGCGTGATGATTTCAACCAACCTCTTTAAGGTGGGATCCACCTCAAAAAGTGGCTGAAGTTTCTAATAATTTCTAAGAGCAGCTTCCTTTCTGTAAGCAAAGAGAACTATTTTTCTTCCAAACTCTTTCCATCAGTAGATATTGATCACTTAACCAAGCCAGCCTTTCAGCTGTGAAAGGCCTCTGATTAAAATTTCCCTTGGCAGTGCCTTGGATTAGATATTTTATCATCATCATGAATACTAAACCACCATAATGTAAAAAAAGGAAATGAAATGAGGAGAAGAAATGATGGAAGAAGTGGAAAATTGCGCATTAAATGCCAGACACCCTCTTAGATACTCCTGGCCCACTTTACATATTGTACAGTCACTTAAAAGAAAATCTCAGGGCTAAAAAAATTCTATTTAATGTAAGCATTCTGAGTAGCACCTGTAAATCTTACTGGGGTTGTTAAGAGGCTGCAGATTTTCTGCTGTGTTCTTGTGGTAATTGGAATTCTCTCTCTGCCTCAAAAAACTGAGAGCAATTGAATAACAAACAACCTGTCCACCACAAAATCTGCTCTGATACAGCCCAAGTGTCAGCTTGCTCCTTGTTTTTATCAGAAAACTCCCCACCACATGGGTAGAGTGCTGATATTCCGGATAAATGCCACTGCAGATGAGTCAGCTGCAGAGGAGGGGAGCACTGCTCAAGTATCTCGCTGTAGAAAGAAAAAAAATTCTCTTTCAGGATTCAACAAAAAGGCAGAAGGCAGCATTTATTTCACAGGGAGGCAGCAGTGATGGTCAGAGCTGATATTTAGTGGTGAGGCAGCAGTGATGATCAGACATGACAAAGGACGATGGGGATTTTTGTGTTATAACCAGGAAAAAATTGTATCTATTGCAAGTGATGCATTCTGGCCCTGATAAAGTCTATCAGTGGCTGGTTTAACCCTTTCTTATGATGTTCTTTAATCTGTTTTAGCAAGAAGCTCTTTGGAGGACAATGCCACTAATGGCACAGTGGGTTTGATTGTGTGTTTCTCAAAAAGAACTCCCATTTTTAAGTTAATGATGCAGAGCTGCAGCCACAGTCATTGAGAGAAAATGAAAGAGCAGCATTGCTAAGGTGGTTTCAAACCCACAAGATTTAATGCTGATTTTTATGTCCCCCAGGCAGCAATAAGAAGCCAGCAGCTGACTCAGGAGTTTCTTGTTAAGCAAGATTTGAGCACCTAATTCTCACACCTGTGGATAAAACTTTGCTGTAAAGAAGAGGTCAAGGGATGCATGAGCCAGAATTTCCTATTTAATTCCACTGTAAGGTGAGCTTTAATTAGAATTGTGTCTGCAGGATGGCTGTGGCTAGGGGCAGGGTGTTTTTGAGTCCCACTCTTAGCAAAATTACTCTCAGTGGGTTTTCAAGATAGATGAGTGGAGGGCTGTGCTGGCAGAATTACACCCCTGAAAGGTTAAACCTGTCAGAATGCAACCTGAAACACAGAGCATTAACTCTGCCATTTATTGAGGTAAATATTTATTGTCTTCTGCAACATCAACCTGCCCAGGGGGCTCCCAGATTCCTGCAGAAGATGTGGAAGCAGCAACAACTGCAGAAACAGAAGCTGCCCAGACTTTCATTGGTTCCTCTCCCCATTTCAGCTCCCAGCTTCCAATGTCTTGCTGATAGCCCAGCCACAAACAAGCTGTTCATCCAGCGTGAAATGATTTTTTGAATTTGTATCCATTATCTGAGGCAGAAAAACCCCACTCCCTCTGGTTGCTGTGCCAGCAAAGAGCCTCCAGTGACACCGGGGTGTCGGGAATGAAAGCTGGTTTTTGTTTTGCTAACTCTGTGGAGCTGCTTTGCAGCTTCTTCAAGATCTTTGTTGGCCTCATTTTCTTTCAGCTGATTACTTGGGTATCATGGTCTGGCCTAAAGCATCAGATAAAAGAGTTCAGGACTCGGTAACAGCTGGTACACAGCTGGATTGTGATTCCTTAGCAGGAAAACCAGAGGTGCTGTAGGAAGGAGCCAGTGGGGTTTTTCCACACGCTGGACCACACTTGAGAGAGCAAAGACAGCTCTTCAGCAGATATCTCTGGCACACTGCTGTCCCGTTGGTGGGAGGAGGTTTGAGTAAACAGAAATGCACTTTATGATTCTTTAATGCTGCCAGTGTAAGAACCAATCCTTCTTTGTTGCACGGTGTCTTAAAGATTTTAATAGAAAACGTGGAAGAGCTACAGGGAGAGATTGAATGTGTTCAAACAGGGAGAAAAACAAAACGTTTTTGTTCCCTTACTCCATCAGACAAAGGTCACTCACCCATTCTGACCCAGTTCCCCATTTTGCAGCGTGTTCCCCCTCTGGCCTCTAGCCCACCTCAGCCCCTTCTTTAGAGAGGCCTAATTTGGGTTTTTTGAGTCTTACCTGAAACCAGCCCAAGTTAAAATCCTCTCTTTGACTTGAGTTCCTTCTCTGGCCACATCCAGCCCCTTCCTGGGAGGTGTAATTTGGGTTTTTTTGTGGTCTGACCTAAAACAAGCCCAAATTAAAATCTTTTCCCTTTGACTTCAGCATCTGCTCCATGAGATCCTTCAAACCCAGCGCTGCTCCAGTTCTGCTGCATTGATGGAAATTCATTGACTGCAGTGGAGTTGGGATAATGATGCTGTTGTAGAATAAGAACTAAATCAAGGCATCAGCGATGAAACTGAAAAAATACACTTTGGCGTCAAAGTCCACTTCAGCCAGGGGTTGTGCAAACATTCTCATGAAAAGCAAAGCATGAAGGGAGCAAGGAAAATAAACTCTCTAGCAGTTGTCCCAGCAGTTTCAGGCACTGGGTCCTGTGATTCCATGAATGACAGAGAGCTGAAAATATTTACTAATCTCATTTTAAAGTATTTAATTATGTTCAGCTGTGATTTAAAGAGAACACGCTGGCATGTAATTTCTCATGGAGAGAAAAATCTACTCTTTATGTCACCAGCAGGTATTTTATTTTACTTCCATGAACCCAGTGTCAGCAGCATGAAGGCATTTCTGATCCATAGAAATTCCCAGGAGGAGTTAGTGACACAAACAGCGGAGCCTGGGCAGCAGCAGGAGCAGGGGAGCAGCGTGCTCTTCCCACGTTCCATTGGTGGCTCTGATGACAAGTCTTTGGCATCCTGGGACGCTCACTGGAGCCAAGAGACCACGGGCAAACTTCACCATTTCTATTTCTGTGATCTGTAGGTTTTTTGGGGTTTTTTTTTTGTTTTTTTTTTTTAACAATTTCATGCTCCTTTTTCTGATGGAGCAAAGCTTTGACTTTTTTGTAGTCAGATTTTCCTTGCTGGTTTTCTGGAAGCTGCCATGGCTCAGGCAGATCCAAGTGCTGACAAAGTGAGCTCCGTTATTTATCATAAAACAAGGGGAAAAGCACATGTGACACCCCCATTCCCATGGCTGCTCTGCATCAAGGGAACCACAGATTAATTATCAGCACTCCTGATGCCTGACAGTAAACTCCTCAAGAATTACCTTCAATAAATTATTGAAACGTGAAAATTATTTGCTATAATCTCAGAATGCCGTGGCATTGCAACATAAAATTTAATAGTAATTCCTTGCACTTTCTGTCCTGTGGATGAGAGATGCTTTGTAAATATAAAAGGACATTTATTTCCAAAGGTCTCCATGTGATGAGTGCAAGGCACCTCTCAGGCTGGAGGGATCTAGATGAACGTTTCTTTTCCTTTTGTGGCCAATATATTTTCATTCCCCTGTGTCTTTGTTTGAAAGGCAGGTGTCTGCCTGGGAATCTCCCTTGGAATGGAAAATGTGACCCCCTTCCCTCTGAATTATTACTCATTAAATGTATACATCCCTTTGATGGCTTATTCAAGGATGGGCTCTGAGCACAGAAATTCAGGTGCTTTCTTAGAAATCCAAGCCCAACTGAATCATTTGAGAAGAGCTGAGGGAGCTGCACAGACCCACAAAAGCTCTCCCAGTGCTCCAGGAGTGTAGCCTTTCCCATGTTATACAGCTGGACAAAGGAGGAACATGAAGATTGAAGGGTTTATCTGTGTTTTGTCAGCAGAGGACTGAGAGAAACACACCAGGAACAAGTGAAACCAGCATGTCCATCTCCCTAAGCAGAATTTTTTCCCTGTGATAGATTTCCCTGTTTGTTTCTAGGTAATTTGAGGAATAAGACTCTTGAATCCCTTGGGAATTGTGAATACAGGGAACCTGACAACCAATTTATTTACTAATGGTGGAAGAGTTCTGGTATTCCTTTAATGGATGTACAAATTTCCTTGTCTCTGTGCAGCAGATTTTCTGTAGCAGGGATTTAATGTTTGACCTCTTAATATGAAGAACAAGGTTTTATGTCTACAATAAAGACATTTTACAGCATTTCAAAGATTTCAGTCACTAGAGGGTAACAGAATCATGTAAGGGAGCCACAGACTACCTGACCTACTCCTGGTCCTAACTTGACCTAGCATTAGTGGAAAATGTTCCTGTCTTTATATCAACAGAGCAATTCCAGTGACAACTATTGAGCCAATCTGTTCAGCCCTGACAGTGAGAAATCTCTCCTCTGCCTCCAAGGGTAATTAGGGTAATTATACACATGTCAATTAAATGGGAGAAAGAATAAATCAGTGTCAGTACCCTAAACCACAGCCCATTCCTTCCATCATCATGAAGTAACTTGTTGTACCAACATCCTTTGCATTTATTGTTATCTTTTAGCCCTCAAATCTCCTGCTTTGGCCGTAGAAGGTTCAAATTCCTGGTTTTGAAAGAAAACACCCTGATTTTCCATCAAGAGCTCTGAGAACTTGTTCATGGCCTGCCCAGGTGCCACTTCATGCCATAAAACACATTTCCTCTTAAAAACTGAATCCTAAACTGGGGGTTAGGATAAATAAATCCACGATTTTCTCATGTATCTCTCTTTCTGTTTGTACTGTTCTAGTAGGTGTGAGGAAGTGCTGGCAGAGTTTGGAGGCTGCAAAGGCTTTGAGTGCCTGAAAACAAGGCACAGTGTGGAATTCACAGGTCTTAAATAAAACCCTGAGGTGATGACACTGAGAACGTTTCACCAAACGAGTCAGTCACAACTCAGAGACCTCCAAGGAGCCAAACATCAGTATTTGCACCTCCAAATCTATGCAAATCAGGAAAGGATTCTCTTTTCTTTATTATTAACTCTTTTACTGCATGTGTGGCATATCCCACTCTTTAGTGTCTGCACGTCTCAAGTTCAAAATGAGTGAAAAAAACCTCTTTTCTGGCTGGTGCCTTGTGGAAACCCCTTTGGATGTGACACACAAACCTGGCTCTTACTGAGCTGAGCCTCAGGCTGAGGAGATCTCATGAAATCTGCTAAAATAAGTCAGGAATCTTCAGAATTGCTGGAAAAGCAACCTTCCTTAAGGAAACAAAAGAAATACAGAGTATAGCAGGAAAAAAAAAAAAGGGCCAAATTTCAATGAACCTGGATTTATTGAAATGCAAGCGATTGATTTCAGTGGGAGCAGCAGTTGGCTCGGAGCAGACCTGATTAATTAACAATAACAATGTTTTGGCAGACTCCTCCAGAGTCCCAGAGGAGCAGTCCATGCAATTACCACTACAAAATCCCCATAAATACATGGCTGCATTTGCTCTATTAAATAAAAAGGCTGTAGAGAGTTAATGGATTAGGGGAGCCCTTTATGCAGAAGAGGGCTCATGATGAAGCACCAGAGTGCCATGGACAAAGAATGTGACCTCACACAAGCCCATGGCACAATTCCACCTGATTCTGTAGGATGAGGTTTCACTTTGACAGTCAGTGAAGGTGGGAGCTTTTGCTCAGTGGCAGTTTTGTGCCAGCACCTGCTCAGGAAACACGTCTGTTCCAGCTTGTGCAGCCCTTCAGCTGGAAGCACCTGCTGGACTGAGCTCACAAATCCCTCCTGCCCTGCGTTCTGATTGAAATTCTGAGTGCTTTCACTTGCAGCCTGGAGAAACAACAGAATGAAAGGGAAAACAAACCTGAGTAATGGAATTGAAGTGATGGAAGAGGGGAAAACTCCTGGCTATTTGAAGGAAGTTTTTGGTTTCTTTTATTTTCAACAGGCTGCTGGGGGTTAGTCACTGGCACTACTAACCACAGGTGGAAAACATAAATTATTACCAGACTTTTTAATAATATAAAACATTGCCAGGCTTGGAAGTCTATTTAGGACTAGCTGATTAAACATGTATCGTGTGGTCTGTGCTCCCTAAAATGTTTTATTGACCCTTGTATCCTGGATAAATCAGAGCACCTCACCTCTGTGCCTCCCCTCAACCCAGCTCCTGAGAGAATGAGATCCAAACTGTCCTGGACGTTCGTAGCAGTGACAGAGGAATGGTCAGGAATTCCTCTGCCTGCTCTTTCCCCACATCCAGGTTTCCTCCCCTGCCAGGCTCCTGCTTCAGGCTGTGACTGTTCAGTGTCTGGCCCATTTTTGCAGCAGTAATTTGGGATGGATAATGCTGCTGCTCTGCATTGCTCAGATAAAGCCCCATTTATTTCCCATCTCATTGGCTCTGAGGGATAATTGAAACACAGTCCTACAGTTTAGCTCTTCATAAATACCAGCAAGGGTGAAGAATTTAGCCTTTTGAATTATATTTATGCTCATGTCTGAATTATATTTTATTGAATATGTTTTGGTTCCCTCCCAGTGTGTTGTAAGTGCACCAGCAGGGAGCTCCAAACTCTGTTGTCTCATGATTGACATCTGATTTTCTACTATGGGGTTAGATCAGGGAAAAATCATAGAGCCCAAGATATCCAAGACTAACACCTTCAAAATGCTCCTGGCATTCCTTTCAGGTAACCACAAATATCCTTATTTTAACTGACTTCCACGAACAATGCAATATTAATTAATATTTTGTCTAAAGAGTTTGGAACATTTGATGCCATGACTTGTTCACCTCTGGATCTTGACAAAGTAAGGAAGAGGACCCTGTGACAGGACAAAATTTCTCATCCTCTCAGGGGGGAAAGCAAAAAACAAGGGGTTAAGAAATTAAAACAATTTAGAGGCTGATAATGAAGAAAATCACAGACCCTCTTTGAAGGCTGTTAAGAGCTCTAAACCAAGGCAGGAGATTTGTGCAGAGATTATTGATAGCATTTTCTGTCTACATTCTGAGACATCCATGCCTTGCTCGTGGTGTTGTTGCTGTAATAAAAACTCCATCTCATGCTTCAGCACAGTTCACTGTCCAGCACAAATTATACCCAAACATGCTGAGACAGGCAGCAGAGGAGAGGAGAAAGGGAAGCAGAGTGATGCTATAAAAAAAGCTATTTGTTAAAGGTGGTATTGATCTTCTCCTTCTGAATTCCTCCACATAACTTGCTCAGGCTCCCTCTGCAAATGTTTATCCCGTTAATACATGTGCCTGGAACATTTACTGCCAGTCTGTGACAGTCCAAGGCAGTGAAAGCCATGAGCAATGTGGTGTGGCCCCAGCCTTTTCCACAAACTGATCACTTGTGACTGCAAGGCAAGCAAGGGTGTTAATTACCCCCAGTATTAATTTTTGACCTCTGTTATGGGGAAGATTGCAATAAACCCTGCTCTGACCTCGCTGTCTTTGTAGAGGAAAGGCTTTTAGAGGCTGTTTCTTCAGCTGCAAAACTTTCTGAGTGCTTCATGCATCAGCACACCCTCACTGGTGTCCACCAGGATAAAGGATGTTGATTAATTGATTAAATCTTGCTAATAGTGCTCTGAGACTTCACAAAATGCATATTGAAGAGGAGAACTTCATCAAGAGAATCTTGGATACCGCATTTAATCTGTTCTGTCTGCCCAGGAATGATGGAGACTTCCCAGTGAATCCTGCTGGGATGGTGGGGATTTGATATTTGCCATTTCTACAGCTCAGCTGTAGAATATGTAATCACCATTTACCATGGTGTGTGTGTGCTCGTCATGGTGACATGTCCTGCTCCTGGAGTCTAAAATGAGCAAGATCCCATTAGCAGTGGGAGCTGAGCATGACTGGGGAGAGAACTGGAGGTGTTCCAGTCATGCTAATAACACTTTTTGCCTGGAGATAATAACAATCCCGTTATGTTAATTTTTTGCTTGGCACATCCAGTATGGCACTGACAATTACGGCCCCTAAGTGTTTTTATGAGGGTTTAATGCACACTGCAGGGTCCTGCAGAGCAGTTGGCAGGGTAAAACACAGGACAAATCAGATGGTTGATCAGCACGAGGAGCCTGCACACCAGGCCCAGCTATTTTTAAACCCCTGGGGAGCTCTGCCACCAGATGGGCGCTTTTTTGAGCTATGAGTACCACTCAGAACAGTTTGGTTTGTGCCTTCCACAACCTCTGGTAACTTTGGGAATTCTCTTCTGCAACTGCTCGACCTGGCTCCTCATTTTTGACATAGGGATCAATCAACATTAAGAAAGTTCAGGAGAATCCTGTAAGTTTGTCAGGCTGGATGGAGCTTGGGCCTGGTGGGGATATTGGGCTTTGTTTTACCTGTCCTGACCCTTGGGATACATCAGGAATAGTTCAGAATGAGATGTCCCAGCCCTGGAAATGTCCCAGGCCAGGTTTGATGGGGCTTGGAGCAACCTGGGATGGTGGAATCTGTCCCTGCCCATGGAATGAGTTGATCCTCATGCTCCCTTCTAACCCAAACCAGTCCATGGTTCTGTGTAAAGATGCAAACTCACTGATTTTGGGAGTTAAACACCTGGATACAAATGCAGTTTCTACATCCCTTTATGAGCCTGGATTTTTAACCTCCAGTTCATTCCTGGAAATAAATAAACCACTTCACAGCTCAAGCTTATTTGAAAACTGCTAAGTGGGGTTTTGTCATATTTAATTAAAACTTGACCAAAATGTATACAGACTCGAAAGATAGGATGTTAGAAGGAAGTTGAAGGTGAAAATATTTGTTTTTCATTAATTTTTCTTCCTGTGTCTCTAATGTGTTCATTTTTCTCCCTGCTCCTAAATGAATACAGGAGACAATTTCCATTAAAAGTGGATGAGCTGGAAGAGTGAGTGGAGGGTTTTCTACTCTGAAATTTAAATTCTTTGCTCTTCAAAATCACTGCCCAAGTGCTCAATTGTTTCATGTTCCACCTCTATGACCACATTATCTGCTAAAACATCTGCAATGACTTTATTATTAATAGGCAATGTCATGATTTTCCTCTAGCAATCTTCCCCGGGACTTCATCTCTACTCTGAGCAACACAGTAATATTTACTCACACTGAAAAAATCCTGTCAAGAATTTTGATGTTCCTTCTGACCATTAATTAAGCTTCAAAAGCACTTACCAGCACTACTATTAGCACTTCATGCCTGGCTAAACCTACAGAGAAAAAAGTGAAGAGAGCAATTTGATGTATTGTGAAATAAATTTGCTGCCAGGAGAGGATGATACAGAAACATGAATACAATCAACAGAAAACTTATTTTTCTACTTTGATCAAGAACTAGAGGCTTCTGGTAAATACTCAGAATATATTTTGCTCTATACAATCTACAGTTTTTTATATACTCAAAATACTCAACAACATCCTTCCAGTTCTTCCTTTTTCCATCGGAATAATTACTATTTCTATTATTTCCATTAAAATAATTACTATTACTCTAATAAATAATTCATGCTTCCTTTTGGAATACTGAATGATTTTCCCCCTCTTTTCTTTTTTTCCTCTGTTTCCCCTTTCTCCCAGGAATACCATTGCTGTTTGATGTGCTATGTTCGTTCCCACAAAGAGTTTGGGTTCTGAGAATCTGACATTTTCCAACAGAAACCCATTCCATGAGAAAATCTCCAAGCCAGTCGTTTCTCTAACTGCAACCAGTTTGCCTCCCATGGGCCCAGATCCAGCAGCAATCACACAAATATCAACAAAACCTCACAAGCTCTTCCAGCCCAATCCACTCCTGTAGCCATGGTTTATATGAAATTTAATACAGAGAGACATTTCTACCTTTTTCTGGGGTTCTACAGTGCTGTCCCTCTGTGGCCACCAATGGCTGCCTGATAGATTTAAATCTAAAATTTGATTTCAAATTAAATTTCAAATGACATTTAAAATTTAATTTCAAATCAAATTTCAAATTTAATTTAAAAATACATTTAGTATAAAGCTTTCTCCCAGTGGGTACAGGTATAAAGAACTCTCTCTGCAAACACAACATGGAAAAAGTGTGATTTATTTTTTTACTGAAAGTTCCTGCCAACTTTTTCTCTCTGGTCCCAGGTTTAAACTCATTTGATGGTTTTGAGGAAAGAAAAGGATTTGAGGATTGAGGATTACAATGACAAAAAAGAAAGAAGGAAGAGAATGTTTGGAAGTAGAGTTTTGTTATGAAGGAAATATTTAAAATAAGAGGGATGAAATTCAAATGGATTCTTGCAGCACAACTACTGACTTTATTGGAGGCACTTTGATTTATAGCTTGCATTGATTCTTGAGTTCCTGGAACATTCTTTGTTTTCTCATTGTCAGTGTGCACTGTAGCAAAACCACACTGCAGTTTGCTCTTCCCCAGAAGACATCTCCATTGCAGGGAGAAAATGGAAAAAAAGGCAGAAATTCCCATCAGTTCAGAGCAGATGCTTCCCTCTGTATTTGCAAAACAAAAGCATTGTCTGTAAATTTTCAGCATAAGGTTCTTAGAATGAAAAATGATATATTATGCATACAAAAGTCTGCCAAAATGACAGCAGGTCTTGTTAAAGTTCTTTTGTCAGGGAGAAAAACTTAGACAAGTTGCCTGACTATTTTATTAGGAAATGAAAAACAAATATCCAAGTGGTTTTTGTTTTAGAATTGTATTGTAAATGGAATTAAATACATTGAAAAGGTAAACATGGTTTGATTGATGTGTATTATATTTTCCTATTTCTCTGTATTTCCCTATTCACATCACTTTTGTTGCAGTTTTGACCTGGGTTCTTTTCTTAATGCTCAATATTTTTGTAGGGAAAAGACACCCTCCTTCCCAAGCTGTCATCTACAAATCCAAAAGAAGAACTGTGTCCTTCTGATCAGCCTGATGATCACCACAGACCATCTGGGCTGCACTTCTGGCCAATATTCAGGTGTGAAGTAGACTTGAAGCATTTCAAACTCTCAAACAAAAAGAAGTGTGAGTATTTTGCCAGACAAAGCCAGCTTAGGTACAGGCAGAATTTTAGCAAAGACTGGGGAGACTACACACTCCCATACTAAAAACAGAAATACTTCTCCTTCAGACCTTTATTTAGGGTTCCTAGTGCAGAAGTGGAGCAGGAAAGGAGCCGTGTTATCAATCAGTCCGAGGGCTCTCACCCGGCTGGAACAGGACATGTTGTGCACTATATATTTATATTTACCCATTTCAAAAGGCTGCAGATTCATTTTTATTTTTCCTTGACATGAGAAATATTGGTGGAAGCATTGAAGGATTAGAGAGTGCCTGTGATTTTCCTGCTAAAGTAAACATCAGCCAATGCTGTAACCAGATCACATTCTTGTGGCGGGCTGAAGAGACTTTAATTTTCAGCCACACTGAGAAGAAGCAAAAAGTGCACCAGGAAATGGGCTGAGCTTTCTTTAGTGTGGGAATGAAAACGTGGGACAGATGGGGATATTTGGCCTCATTTTACCTGCCCTGATCCCTGGGATCCATCAAGACTAGTTCAGGATGAGATGCCCCATCCCTGGGAGTGTCCATGTTGGATGGGGCTTGAAGCAACCTGGCAGGGTGGAAGGTGGGGCAGGGATGGCACTGGATGGGCTTTAAGGTCCTTCCTACCCCAACCATTCTGGGATTTGAAGGATTCTGCAGACAAGAAATGAAATGATTTCTCCATTTTGGAGACAGCAGTGCCGTCCTGCCCAAGCAGTCTCTGCCCTGAGTGTGTGTGGTGGCACTTGCAGGCAGGACAGAGCCCCACCAGGGAGCAAACACGTGGCAAAAGAGCCCTCACTCCAAAAAACCTTCAGCAGGGCAAGTTCAGGGAGGGAGGAGACCGGCCCCATCAGCTGCCCTGTGCTGGCTGAGGTGTGAGGAGCAGAAATGTCACAGACCTGAGGTCACCCAGGCAGCTTTCAGCAGACAGGTCCCTGGAGCCCAAGCACTCCAACGAGGTCAGATCACAGCGAGGCTCTTCCTTGCCTTCCTTGGAGGACATTTCTGTGCAGGCACCAGAGAGGATTTATCTGTAAATGGTTTTGATAACCAACATTTGTAAATGGTTTGATAACCACGAGAAATGAAAGCTGGAAATTATGTACTCTAAAGAGTAATTAAAGACAAGCACCACCCCAAGTAAAGGGGGTTCAAAATATTTTTTAAGAGCACACAGATAGCAGATGGAAGATAAAGTTTTCTGCTTTTTAAAACCCCAAACACCAAGCAGTGTACTGCAAAATAAATCCATTGTTTTGCCGTGTTATTGTGAAGAGGGTACCTGGTGCAGTGGAAGATGATTCTCTGAGTAATTTTTGGACATCATTCTGTTTTCACAATGCAAAATTCTGCATACATTGGGTGGGAGCTCTATGAGTCACCCAATATCTGCTGTGATTTTAATGCCAAGTTATTTTAATGTCTAAGGGAAAGCATAAATCAGAAGTTTTCAAATGACAGGCACATTTCTGGAGCAATGTTGCAAACCCATGTAGGTGAACAAGCTGAGAGTTACAGCTGAGTTCTTTTCTTTGAGTGCCTGTACAAAGCTCTGGATCCAGCCCAGAGAAAGGGAGAAGGAATAAAATTAATACAGCTCATAGGAATGCCTGGATTTTTGATGTGAATTTCTCTCTTAATGTATTACAGTTACTTTTTTGGGAAATTTTCTGCTTTCCAACTAAACATGTTTTAATATAAATAATAACAACGATAATAAAATCCAGCAGTTTGCATTGAGGTCTTATTTTCCCACAAGGATTCTTGAGAAGCTGAACAGGGAATGTTCTCCAGAAGAAAAACAACTTCTGCCCAGCCAAGCAGAGTCCTGCTGCAAAAAGGTGCAACTGCAGTGACTTCAGCACAGCTCTGTGACCTAAAAAATGGCCAGAATTGATGTAAGAGGGAAAAATGTTGCTCTGGCTCACATAAAGAAACAGCACATTCTGTCCCAGAATGGTTATGTGGCCCCTGCTGAGCTGAACTTCCCCTGGATAATTTCTTTATGTCTTGGAATTCAACCTCCAGCCAGCCCAAGGCTTTTTGTGCTACTTAAATTCGATGGAAAAATCATCTGGGGAGTCTTGGTGATGTCCTGTGCTCTGTGCTTGTCTACATGCACAACAAATTTACTGTGCAAGCTCGAGGCTTTGATGTTATTTTTAAAAGTTCTTGAGGGCTGACAAGACTCCTTGAGTTTGGGGTCAAGCTGGAGAGGCTGAAGTGGGCACACAGATATTTTCTGATTTATTTTAGCATCCTGTGCATGATGCAGCCCTGGGCTGTGTCCACCTCTTCCCACCTCCCTTCATACCAGTTCACTCTGGCAAAAATATGGGAATTTGTAGTTTCTCCCCCTATTTTTATTTCCTGTGCAGAGAAGACATTTTTATGCCATATTTTGAACAGTTTTTTTTGCTACTTTTTTTTTGCTGCTGAAAATTTCTTAGACATGTTTAGCTAAGGTTTGCCACTTGTATTTTGTTCTAATAAAACTTCATTTCTGGTGTAAGGGACTTCTTGGTTTTCAACACATCTCACTGTTTTCTGTCATTGTTAGAGAAAGTTTGTTTCACTGAGTTACCTCAATAATTCAACTCCTGACAGCTGATAATTTACATTTTTGTTGCAGTCAGTGGTACCAGGGCTCCCTCTCCTGGCTTTCCTTCTTTTCCTGCTGATTCCCTGAGCAGTTTAATTCCCCACCACTGCGGAACTGGAATTAAATATTATAAATTGGGCAGATTTGGGGGAGCAGCAACAGAGTTCTGCCACAGAAACCCACGCAATTTCCCTCCTGCCAGCACACACCCACGATTTTTACCTAATCATTATTTCTTCAAGCTGTATAAAGAGCCAAGAAACAACAGCCAGAGCAGTTTTTTTCTAAACCATCCCTTTGCTCTCTAGGAAGAAGAAGATGTTTCCATCACGTTCCTGTCCTGCTGTGAGTGCTTTACTCACTCTCTACACCCTCTATTAAACTGCACAGCATTTACTCCCAGAGATCCATAACTGGGATATCTCCCCCCTCTGCCGAGTAAAAACCATTGCCTCATGTTTTTTGTCATTTTTACAAAGGTGCCCTGACTGCACACAAAAATCCAGGTATTAAATGCTCAGTGTATTTTGTTTTATTTTAGACAAAAAAACCTTCCCCCAAAACTATCAATTGGCTGAATAGCTCCACGTTTCTCCTCTTCACATTCCAATTTTAAAAGTCCCCAAAACCATAAGGCATTCTGCTCTAAAAATAAAGTACATTCCTATTCCACTTGGCCTCCTCTACCCCCTGAGCTAATTGGTGAATGTTTTACTGTCCCGTGGCTTTATTAATGTTAATACTAAAAATTAACATAAAAATGTTAATAATAAAAATTAATTTATTAATTAACATTTTTTTCCCAGCTGATTGGAATCTCCAGGTAATGGAGATGTCAGGTGGCAAAGGCAGGGAGCAGGTGAGCAGGCAGCCAAAAAGCTGTCATTATTTAATTGGGAAGGAGGAATAAGGGACAATAAAGCCCAGCATTAGAGACCTGTAAATACAAAATACTCAAGGAAGCTGCTGGGTGTGTTGGGCCACCGTAGATAATTCACTGATGCTGCTTTAAAAATCTTATTTTAAAGATATTATTGTGCAGAAGACACTGAGATGCTGTTCTCAACCTGTGGCTGCTCTGCTGGAGCAGAAGGATCAGAAGATTTGGGTTATTCCAGTTTGATCTAAAGAATTACTGACTTTTGTGCCAATACAGCAGAAAATTGATGGTGTTTTTTTTGAGTAGTTTGTGAGGGTTTGTCCAAATTCAAGTGAATTGTACTGAAAGGAAACACAACACTTTTAGTTAGTAATTAACTCTGTGCTAATTGACTTGCAATTAAACTGCCAGAAATCTCATAAACATCAGTGTCGTGTTGAAAAATATACACCTTGTAGCTTTTATTAATTGTGAAAATCACAGTTTTTATAACAATTTTAGTTTTGTGCTCATCACAATGAGACATGGATCACCACCCAGAATTATTAAATCTGAAAAATTCCACCTGTAACAGCAATTAACATTCAGCCAATCCATTTTAAATCTTTAGACTTTCCAAAGGTGACCTTGGAAATGGAGCCTCTGGGATGTGCTCCTGAAACTTCCATCATTCTTCAAGGAAAGTGTAAAAAAAAAGCAACATTCCAGCTGTTCCTGTGTGTCTGCAGATTACTGATATTATTCTCTTATGCTTATTTGAACACTGAGTTAATTTTAATTAGGCTCCTGTGCCTAATTGCTCAGGAAAACACCTCCTAGTAACAAATGTTGCTCCTTGCTACTTAAAAGAAGCTGAATCACAACCCCACGTTGCATTCTATAAATGTCCGTGTTATAGCTCATTAGGCTGATATTTTAAAGTTGTTTTAAATGGCTTGGTTCTCCCTTTAAAGCTGAGCAGAATGAAGTATTTGCTTTAAAAGGGAAAATTAAATAATGGAAAATAATAATTTATTGCTCTCGCTCTGACAGGCAAGACATCAATTTGATGTTGTTCAGCTTCTATTGCCATGGTGCTCAAAGCTGCTTTCTCCTCCCTAAACAACAAATGAGTTTTGATTTCTCTTCATTAAATGCATCATTAATTCCTCCTCCCGGTTTCTGTTTGTTTTCCCTTCCTGTTCTCTGGTGCCTGACTTGGAGGATGTGGGGGTTTTCCCCTGTGGCTTTGCAGCTTCAGGGGATTTCTGTTCCAAATTCAATATTATACCCCAAAATTCAATATTATTCCCCAATTTATGCTGACAAGTCCGTGCCCAGGAAATATTGGAGTTGCCAATATTCAACTGTGCTGGTTGTATTGTGTCCCCTGCCTAAAAGGACATTACAATTGAAGATTCTGACTATTTGTTTTTATTGTAAAAACCCAAATCAAACCAGCCCACTTGGTTTTCTCTGGCATTTTTTGAATCCCCTTGGCCTGATGTGTAGTTGGAGGGAATCACAGTTTCCTTTGGAGTTGTGGCTGAACCAGACATCATTGAAGGGCATCAGGTTTGTATATCTGGGGAATTGAAGGAGGAGGACATGAGAAGGTTTGTGAGGGCCAAACAGACAAAACCTCGTGGCTTTAGTGGGAGCCTTCAGTTTGAGAGGCACATCTGGAAAGTTCTATGCAAGAAAAAGCTTTGATAAATGATATTTTACAAACAGGACTGAGGTTCCATCCTGCTGCATCATGCAAGGACAAACTGTGTCTGGAGGAGGTTCAGGAGAGTCCTCAGCTGCCACCTCAGCCATGAAGATTTTTCTTTATTTACTCCAGACTCCTCTGTGTGCTCTGACCCTGGACTTCTGATTCCCTCTCACATTGCTTTAAGGTTGCCCTCATTCTCTCTAATGACCTTAAACCACTTGGTTTGATGTCTGCTTTATCTTCTCAAAATGTAACAGCCCTGACTGCATCAAATTCCCTCCTTAATCCCCTTGGCATCTCTGATCACTGAAGACTGGAGTTAGATAAACTCTCCCAGGTAACCTTTGCCGACTTTCCAGAGGCAGATGAATGCCATAAAAGATCCATCATGCTTTCCTTGGTGTCAGAAAGGTTTTGCTATTAAAGATTAGGGAGGCTGGAGGTCACTCCAAATCACAGTATTGCTCACTTTATAAGCCCATTTTATCCTGTCATCTGGTATTTTGTGTTCCAGTTGTTTCAGAGGAGTCCACAGCATTCATCAACTCCTCATCCTTCGGCCTCTTTGCACACTGGGGTTTAAGCACTGAGTGATTCGTTAAATGTCTCCAAAGTCAAGCCATTTATCTTTTTCACTGTATTTTATTGCCTCTGTTTTCCCTGCATTACAAACCTCCAGCACAACACTGAGTTCTTCTTGCTTTAAGTGCTGGTCCCTCACAATGGGATCCTGAAATAAAAAATCCTTGGGTAGTGAAACCCCATCCATTGAGATACTACTTTAAAAAAAAAAGGAAAAAAAAAAAAAGTAGAGGCAAAAACACAGTTTCATGGTCCAAATGATTGTTTTTGATTGTTTCTCAGACTCAACACTGAGCTTTCCAAGCCCAAATCCTTACTCATATAATGCAAGCCTCAAAACTGGGGAGAAGAGCATCACTTTTAAATCCCCAAAGCCCACATTTGGGAGACCAAAGAATTGATTTGAGGTCCAAACTCACTCTCTGGGACTACAAAACCACACTTGTAAGCTGCAAGGTTATGATTTTAAAACTCAAAGCCTCATTTAAAGGGCTCTGAGAATCATTTTTCAAAAGCCTGATGTGGAATATTGGTGGGACTGTGATGTCACACAAAGCCTGTGACACAGAGGGACAAAAGGGAGGTGGGTTCTGCACTCTGGAGAGAGCCCTGAGGGTGAACATCCTCACCACCGAGGACATGGCTGTCGACCCAGCCCAGATGGATTTCTGGGATGGGATGGAGTCCGTGTTCATGATGCCCAGCGTCACCCCTGCAGGTACGGGCCGGAGCATCGCTGGAGCCGCTCTCAGGGATGCAGGGACAAGACCCGGCACTGACCCGTGTGGGGTTGGGGACAGCACTGACACATGCCAGGGCTGCTGGAAGGCTGAGAGCCAGCAGAAGCACAGCCTAACCTGGTGTTTCCTGCTTTTCCAGAGAGAAAGGCTGTCTGGGATGCAGTGGCTGGCTATGTCCAACAACAGATGTTGCTGCACAAGGTGGGATGATGCCCTGGGACAGCACCGACATCCTTCTTTGCCCACCCAGAGCAGTGAGGAGTTCCCATGGCCCTCCTCATGGCTCATGGCCTGCAGTTCCTCTTGCTCTCCTCAGAATGCAGCACACCCACCCCAAAATCCCCTGCTGAGGGACTACCAGAGCTTGTGCAAGGGTGGTATCACCTCTAGGAGGTGGCATTGTACCCCAGGGCTGATCCCAGTCACTGGAGACCAGGGATGCCCTCAAGCTGCCTCTGTCTGCTCTGACTCCAGCATGGATTTTTTTGGTGAGAGAAGAGAAAGGAGAGGCCCCAGCATCTCCTCCCCAGGGCTCTCCCCACTGTCCTGTCCTGACTTCTGAATACAGGGAGTTGGCAGAGTTCGGTCAAAGGCACCATCCCTTGATGGAACCATCCTCAGCTCTTCCCTCTGTCCAATCCTCACCCTTTGGGCCTTTCCCTTCTGCTCCAGGGGATCCGGATTCCCACCCTTGGGTCCTTTGATGTGGTCCACACAGAAACCCTGGTGGGGAACAAGACAGTGATCCTGCAGACTCCAGTGTTCCACCTGGCCAGGAATCTTGGAGGAGTCCAGAACCTGGAAAATAAGGATGACCTGGCTGGTAAGACAGAGGGTTTAACCCTGAAGCCCAGGGTGGAGTAGGGTACCACACCACATTTCTAAAAGCATCTCCAGGGAAATGGCCTTTGGCCAAGCCCTGGGGAAGTGCCTCCATCCCTCTCCTGTGGTTCTCCAGGAGGAAAGCAGCTGGAGCCTCTGAAATATGCCAAGGTGGCCATGAAGGCCTCTGTGTCCCGGAGGAAAGTGGAGTGCTGCATCCTCGGCACCACGTCCCTGCTGTACCACTGCCTGGAGAAGGGCGTGAGTGTCGCCTTTGTCCTGAGGGACGTGGGCGTGCTCCTCATCGAAGGCAGCATGGTGCAAATGAGATTCTACCTGGACTTCCTGGAGAAGGTGATTGGGAAGAGGATCCAGGACAGGGCTATACTCAAGGTGAGCCTTTTGTTGCCCCCCTGCTTGGGCAGACCCACAGCAGTTCCCCAGCACTGCTGGCACATGGACATGGGGATGTGCCCAGGGGCTGCGGCCAGGCAGGAGTGTGAGCAGTCTCCACCTGCTCTGCTCACCCTGAGCTCCTCCTGAGTGCCTCAGCCACACTGAGGATGTGCTGGCACCTTCCCATTTCTGTGCTGCAGGCTCTCCAGCAGCTGGACATGGTGGTGTCCCAGGAGGTACCCATTGCTTCCCTGAGCTTCACCGGCCGTATCATCATCTTTCCCAAGTGAGTCAAAACACCCTGGCAGCTTTGGCCTCTGCAGAGCTCTGGGAGCAGTTTCTCCTCGTGACCACAACAGCCCTGCAGAGCACTGACTCTCGTTTGTGTCTGCCTGCTTGTCATCCCTGTCAGCAGACCTGAGGGGGCAGAGGGAGTGTTTTAGGCAAGCCTTGCTTCTCCGTCATGGCCAGGAATCCTTTCCTGGGTGGCTCTGTTTTCCAGGACGGTCCTTGGGGCTGGGGCACAGCTGACTTGGGAGAACAATGGCCTTTACCCTACTGCCCAAACTCACCTGTGAGCAGGTGATGGTGGCAAGGGGCCAGGGCTGGTGGGGACATGGGTCAGGATTGTGTTGTCTCTTTGTCTCCAGCTTTGAAGAGACATTTCAGCCCACATCGCTGCCCAGGGATTATCTCAAGGACTTTGGATTTGTTCCTGGGGAGGACAAGATGAACAAAATGGGTTTGACATCCATCAGGCAAGGCATGGAAGGTAAAGCAGCTCCTCACTCGTTTCCACAGCACAGGCAACTGGCGGCTCTGATCTGGCGAGAGAATCTCCAGCTGTGATTGTCACAAGGATCTGATTGTGCCAAAGCTTGGAGTGAGCTTCTCATGGCCTTTTCTCCTAGGGCTGGCTCCACAGGAGCTGAGCCCTGGGCTGGGAGGTGCCCAAGATGCTCATCCCTGGGATCCAAGGGCCCATACTTGCCTTCAGAAATTACCTCTGCTTCCAGAAGAGATTCTGTCCCAAACCTGGCACTGTGGATGGGAGGGTGCCAGGCCTCTGGAGACAGCGGTGTGAGGGGGCTGGGAATTCCCTCTTGGATGTGCTGGGAAGAGGACTGACATTGCCATGTGTCACTTGTGGCCAGCAGCATCACAGCTGTGCTGTTCTGACAGCCTCTGTCCTTCCTGATTCCAGGGAGGTTTCCTGGCCTGCCCGTGCCTGCTCACCAGGGTTCCACTGCCAAGGCAGGAGAGCAGCCCTGGCATGAGAAGGAGATGGAGATAAGGCACAACTCTCGGGTCAGGTGAGACTGGAGCCTCAGGGTACGGGGCCTTTTCCTCATCCAGCCAGAGCTTGTTCCCCAGCATGCCCACCAGATGGACTGGGGCTGCCCCAGGTCACAGGGCTGGTTCTTCTCCATCCCTCCAGAAGAGCCCCCCGTGACTGCTGGAGCCATCCATGGGGACACACAAGCATCAGCCACGGCTTCCAGCTCAGGGTTCATCTCCTGAGCTGGGCACAGCCATGGACTGAGGACACATAGCTTCTGTGGGCAGAATGTGGCCCCAGACCCCTCCCAGCCCCACTCAGCCCCCTCCTGTTGTGTCCTTGCAGGGAGCTGCCAGGGACCCCAGGGGCTGCTGCTGGAAGAAAGCAGCCTGTGACTGACCAAGCCAAGGGCAAAACTGTGCCCAAGGGCCAAGTGCCACAGCAGAGCAACAAAGAGGCAGCAACAGCTCAGAGGGGCAGAGGAGGAAGAGCAGAAAGAAAAGATTCTCTGAGGACAGAGGGAGAAAAGGAAGTTCAGCTTGGAAAAGAAGGAGAAAGAGGAGAATCCCTTGGAAGAAAAGGAGAAAAGAAAGCTCATCTCAGGAGAGAGGGAGAAAAGAAAGTTCAACTTGGAAAAGAAGGAGAAAGAGGAGAATCCCTTGGAAGAAAAGGAGAAAAGAAAGCTCACCTCAGGAGAGAGGGAGAAAAGAAAGTTCAACTTGGAAAAGAAGGAGAAAGAAGAGAATCTCCTGGAAGAGAAGGAGAAAAAGCTCGTCTCAGGAGAGGAGAAGGAAGGGATTCTCTCAGAAGAGGAGAAAGAAGAGGTTCTTTAAGAGAAGGAGAAGGAAGAGATTCTTTTAGAAGAAAAGAAAGAAGGGATTCTCTCAGAAGGGAAGGAGAAAGATGGGATTCTCTCAGAAAGGAAGGAGAAAGAAGTGATTCTCTCAGAAAAGAAGGAGAAAAGAAAGTTGGACGAGGAAGAGAAAAAGAAGCAAAAGATGCAGTTGGGAGTGAAGGAGAAAAGAAAGTTCATTCCAAAAGAAGAAAAGATAAAGTTTCTTCTAGAAGAAAAGGAGAAAAAGAAGTTCCTCTTGGAAGAGAAGGAGAAAAGTTCCATCTCAAAAGAGAAGTGAAATATCTCCTTGAGAGAGAAAGAGAAAAGAAACTTGGTCGTTTCCTCCAGTTCAAAGGAATTCAAGTTCCTCTTGGAAGAGAAGGAGAAAGGGAAGCCCCTCTTGGGAGCCCATCAGTGCCATGGAGTGCCCAGGCCAGGAAGCCTCAGGACTCCAAGATGTTCATCCGGCAGCGGCCGGGGGCCGAGGCAGCGCAGGGCCTGCGAGCCAGGCCCGAGTCCTTCTGGTCAGTGCTCAAGGAGCCCCAGAAGAGCATTTTGGCAGGCTACAGCTTTGAATCCTCCCACCTGCTGCCCCCCCTGCCCGGGGGCACTGTGCCTTCGAAGGTGCCCATGCTGAAGAAGAGAGAAATGGTCTCCAGGGGCCCGTGGCCCTGGGTGGAGTGAGCAGGGATGGGGGGGAGCAGCACCTGAGGTGGCAAAACAGGGACATGACTGGAACAGGAACTGTTATTCTGGGAGGCTGTTTCTTCCTAGAAGTGCAGAGTTAGGGGATCTTCAAAGATCTTTCAGTTCTGGTGGATGTCATGGCCAAGGTGCCACCTTGGGCTCATCCATCCCCAGGGCCGAGGGACTCCTTTTCCAACAAGAAGGAGCCTCAGGACACACCCTGGCCAGGCTCTCTGGGGTTAGAGAAAGCCTAGCTCAGCACAAGGCTTCTCTTTAAACCCCCACTGGGAACACAAAGCCTCTCTGGGAGGGTCGGGCAAAGCTTGGGAACAAAGTGCTGCTGCTGCAGAGGCTGCAGTGAATGGAAAGTAGAGAGAAAGAGAGAGAGAAAGAGAAAGAGAGAGAGAAAGAGAGAGAGAAAGAGAAAGAGAAAGAGAGAGAAAGAGAGAAAGAGAGAAAGAAATAGAGAAAGAAAGAGAGAAAGAGTTGCCCTTCTGTCAGTGTCCTGACCTGAAGCCATCCAGGAGAATTTTATTAAAAGAAAAATCCCAGAGTAGCAAATTAAACAGACTTCACTGTTCTGCTGAACAGCCCATCCCTTGCACACCTTCAATATCCATTTCTTGTCCTTCAGTCCCTTAGGTTTAAGCGCTGATAGCTTTAACAAATGTCTCCAATGTAAATGATTAATCTTTTCCACTGTACTGTATTATCTCTATTTTCCTTTAAAAAAGCCTCCTGCACAACACTGAGTTCTGTTTGCTTTAAGAATCTCTGTAAATATGGGGTATTTTTACAGAAAGAGGAACCTGCAAATGCTTTTATGCAATACTCAAAATTGCACTGTGTTTTATGGGAATTCTAGTGAGTTTTCATTTGACTTTTATAGTATTGTGTATCTCCAGGTAAGATGTTCACCCTGTTCTTTTATTCAGGACTGGTTTTGTTTCATTTCACAATTTTAACTCAGATAAAATATGGAATATGGCCACATGTATTTAAGAAGTTAACGTGCCAGAACGAAGAAAATACAAATACATTTATTAAATGCTGGTAAGAACCAACAAAGCTGCTCAGTGCTTTAAAAAGCTGCCTTAGTGCAAAGCTCCTGCACTGCCTGCCTGACATGGAATGGTTTGGGTTGGAAGGGATTTTAAAGCCCATCCAGTGAGCAGGGACACCTCCCACTAACCCAGGCTGCTCCATGTCCTGTCCAACCTGGCCTTGGACACTTCCAGGGATGGGGCAGCCTCAGCTTCTCTGGGAATTCCATTCTAGCACCCCACCACCCTCACAGGGAGCAGTCCCTTCCCAATATCCCATCTATCCCTGCCTCTGGCAGTGTAAAACCCTCAGCCCTGGGCCTGCCACTGCAGACCCTGATAAAGAAATATCTCTGTGCCCTTCCCATGACCCCCTTTATCCACTGAAAGGTCACAACAAGGTCTCCTGGAGCCTTCTCTCCCCCAGGATGGGGAGGAGAAAACCTCCAAATCTTGCAGGATTTCTGTTCCAGGGAGCTGTTGCAGCCCTGGGATAATTTTTGTGGCCTTCTCTGGACCTGATCTAACAGGGCTGGGTCTTGCATGATGTGGAGGCTCCAGACAAGGGAGCAGAGAGCAAGAATTCCTTCCAACCCAAAACTTTCACACACACCACTGTGCTGCTTATCTTTATTTAGACTTCTACCACTAAGTCCTTTTCTTCAGTCTCATTGTCCAGGAGCTCAGAATTGGCTCTCAAAGCTGTGAGGCGCCTGTGGAGAGAGAGGAGGCTGCTGAAGGCCTGCCATGGCTGGGTTTGTGGTGGGAGTGAGGATGTGGAGCGGTGCTGGCTATCCCATGGGATGTGGACAGCAAGGAGCTGAGGGCATAGACAGCTCTGGGTGGAGCAGGGGGCAGCAGCTCCCAGCACAGATCTCTGCTGAGTTTGGCCAGTGACCAACTGGGCATCCAGGGCTCTGTTTCTCAAAATGCCTCATGGCAGATCAGCTACCCTGCCCAAAACTTGGCAACCCTGGAAATGGCTCACGGCAGGTTCAGCCCCCCAGCACCAACATTTGGCATCCCACCCCCCCCAGGTCACTCACTTTTTTATGTCATTTGCCCATGCAGGGGCCACCCTGAGAAGCAGCAGAACAATCAGGCTGCAGACCACAGACACGAGGAAGGCTCTTATAAAAACACTCCAGGTGATTTTAGCATCAACTGTGCCTGTGTTTTCCATGTCCTCCACAGTGTTTGGGTCTGTCTTCTTGTCCTCAGCACTGCTGAATCTCTTGAACACACCTGGAGGAAATCCCCAAAGCTCTGAAATCCCTGGGAATGGGGTGTGAGGGGTGGTGGGCACTCACTGCACACAGAGGGTCCGAGTGTGTGTCCTTGGCACAGGAATGGCCACAACCTCCACCCTGAGGATGGCCAGGGGATGGGGATTCCCTGACTCACCTGTTGGCTGAAGGGCCTCACTGTTCCCCTCAGGGACTGGCTCTTCCTGATGGTCTTCCTGAGGTGTCTCCTTGTCCACAGGCTCAGGCTCCAGCACTTTAGACACAAAGTGTGCCAGTTTAATTCCAAGTCACCCTTCCTCATGGGAATCTGAAAGCCCAGCTCCACAACTCCTGTGGTTAAGAGTTACTTGTACCTGGAAGTGTTTCCTTCAGTAAAGTGATTAATTCAGACTGTTCCATTAATGGCCAGGAAATGTTTCCCAATCTAGTTTCATTCTTCAGACCTTCAGGGAAAGAACGAAAAATTCCCACCACAGAAATCCCTGGAATCACCTCTGGGGCTGTGCAGCCAGCCAGGACTGAGCAGTGACCCTGGTGCTGCTTGGTCTGGCTGAGGAGCTGGGAAAGCTCAGGGATACCAGACCCCCCTGAGGAGCTCCCATCACACGTGGCTTTCCCTGTCCTCACTGCCCAGCAGCACAGGGAGGGGCTCAGGGAATGACACAGCACACACAGGCAAGGCTGGATTCTCATACCTGCAGGAGATGCCTCACTCACATTTGGGCCTTGATCTGGCACTTCCCAAAACAAATCAAAAGCCACGTAGGATCCAGGAGAGTCAGATCCAGCACCTGGATCTCCACTGCCTCCAGCCACGGCTGTGAACAGGACAGAGAAGCTCAAATTAAATATTTCCATGTACTTTCCATGGCAGGAGCTGTGGTTGGACCATGGAATGGCTCTGGGGACCTGTTTGTCCCTTCCCCTCTGGAGCACCATGCAGGCAGGGGCCAGGTGTCTGACCCATGACAATCCCAAACAAACGGTGCAGGAGCTGGCAAAGCCAACCCCAGCAATCCTGCTGGCATTGCTCCTGGAAGCAGCTCAGGGCCCTGGAACCTGGGAGGGACGGCTCTGCATAGCTGTGTGTTCTGAGGCCATCCCTGAGCCAGACCCATCGCCTCTCTGCTCCGCTGCACAGCTGAGCATCAGCCAGGAAAGTGTTAAATTTCCTGCCAGCAGGCTACTGAAACCTAAATGCTCCTTGAAGGGACCTGTGGGACCTGCCCCTCCCTGCCCACGTACCTGCCTCCTCCATGGGGGGCTGGGCCCTGGGGGCTAGCAGGGCTGCCAGGGATAGCAGGATCACCAGAGACACCAGGACTGTCAGGGCTCTCTGGAGAGCCAGGAGGACGATGGTGACCATGGCCCATCGTGTCCACGTCATGATGAGGCTGCTGAAGCCTCACACTGCACACCAGAGGCCAGCTGTGTGACCCCTTGGGAGCTGTGTGACTCCTCAGGGGGCTATGTCAACCCTCAGGGAGCTGTGTGACCTCATGGGAGGCTTCTATCACCAACATTCCACTGTCTCCAGGGGAGCCCCAAATGTCCTGCAGGTGCTTGGGACAGCCCCATCCCATCCCATCCCATCCCATCCCATCCCATCCCATCCCATCCCAAGCTCTCTGCTCTAGGAAACTCTGTGTAGGTTCCCTGGGACTTCACCTGTCTCCAGAGAGAATCCCAGAGCAAAAGGAAGCACTCCAAACTCATGATTTTTAGCTGTTTGATGGAAAAATGGAGATCAGACTGATTTTTTGGGACGGCATTTCTGTTATGGGTCAGAATCATAGAATCCCAGAATGGTTTGGGTTGGAAGGGACCACAAAAACCATCTGGTTCCAACCCCCTGCCATGGGCAGGGACATCTTTTGCTAGGGAAGGAGATGGGAGATATTTAACACAGCTGATCCTCAGGATACAGGAAAGCAGCAAAGTCACAGTTTAGGAGCCAAAATTTGGCTTTTGGGTGTCCAAACCCAGATGCTTTCCAACACCAGATCCTCCTTCAGCATCACTTTCTAACCCACAACCCCTCTGGAGCCATCAAACTCCTCTAGACCCACCACAAAAAAACTTTTATCCCTTTTCCCCCTGCCAAAACACACATCACAGATTTATCCTGCAGCTGGTCTCACAAATAACAGGAGAAGAGCAATCGCCCAATTTGCAGTGGGAAAAAAGGGGAGAGAGGGACCTGCCTGGGGATGTTGGGCAGAAGCCAGCAGGGACCTGGGAACTCCTCTGTCTCCAGAGGAGGCCAAGAAGTGACTGCAGATGCCTGGGAGGAGTTCTTGGCAAGTGCCAGGCATGAATTTCCCCCAACACACACATGTAGCTCTCTCAGAATAGTCTGGGGATGATGCCAGGGAATTCCCTGCTCCCCAGGAAACACCAAAATGCTCCTGGAGATGCCCAGAGGAGTCACAGTCAGCAATGAGGCACAAACCTGACTCCAGCATAGATAAAGCTCTTCAGGAAACTGCCTAAGAACCCAATGTTCCTACCCAGGACCTGTTCCCAGGGAAGGCCAAATAAGATGAGACATGGAAGTGATGCAAAACCTGCAGCAGGTGAAGGGCTTGTCTGACATCCTTCAAAATAAAATGTCTTAGATGAAGGTTTTCCCTGCCACTCTTGATATTGGGTTCAACAACTGCTTAAAGTTGCGTTTGCATTGCCCTTAGGAAGTTTCTTACCCGATATCCTTTTTCCTGGCATACTCTGCTACTCACACACACTTCTTCCCTGCTAACAGCTCTTACCATTTATAAGCTTTGCTGTGGAAATGCTGGTTCTGCCTGTTCAAGAGGATCTGGGAAAACTTCACTGTCAGATTTAAAGTATTAGCTCACTGTAACAGAGGCCAGTGAAGTTGACTTTGAATTAAATGTTATTAAATATTATAAACATGTTTACACAGCAATGTCAGCCTGCAGTTATACACAACACTGGAGTATTCCTTAAGTGCTGTCTGCTCTTCCTAAGCAGGATTCCAGGCTGAGTTAATGGCCTTTCTTATGGCTTCCTCTAACACAGATGCATTTGGTGGCTGAAACGCCCTTGGTCTGTCTTAGGGCTCTGTCAAACAAGTTCCTTCAAGCAGCACTGCAGATGTTTTGAGCAATTTTGTGCTGAAACAAAGCCAGAGCCCTCTGATGGGCACCAGTCCCGTCTCAGCTGGGCAGTGAGAATACAGAAGAGATGCTGCCAGTCCTGGCACAACCCAGCTGCCAAAATGTGCCTGGCTTTTAGAAAAAAATCTGTGTAGGTAACTAATCCTGTCTGGATGCTGCTGTGGGGAAGGTTTTGGCAAACAAAACAATGTAGAATTGGCTGGTTTCACATTAATCCTCAAATCTGTGTGTGTGCAGTGCTGAACCTCAAATCCTGTTTTGGAGTGAACCAGATCTGGGCATGAGGCTTGACCGCACCCCGAAACATGTGGCAAATACAAGATGGGAAGGAGCAAAAGCCTGGAGCTTCAGCTTGTGCAGTAACCATGGTTTTCCTGCAGGGCAGCTCCCAAAGGGAAGCTCAGGGCTGGTTTTATGTGAGGAGGGTTAGAAATGTCAGCTACTCCTCTGAACTACCGGAGAATTTTCTCCACCGTGGAGAGGAGGATTCATCTCTTGGCAGCTGGGCCTGGTGAGAGCTGAAGGTTGTGCTGTGACTGCAGTACAAAGGTAGGGGTTTAGTCATGACAAAATACTTGCTGGACAATTTAGGTTTGGTCCAATCTGACTTTCCAGCAGTGCTGCCCTCAATCCCCCTGTCTGAAGCTTTCCCCCTGAGCTCAGGGCTGTGTTGATGCCAGAGTGGGAAGCATACTACCAAAGAGCTGCCCTACCTTCCCACATTTATCTGCCCTTGGTCAGCTTGGAAGGAAGAAAAAGTCAGACAAAGATTTAATTACTTTGATAAAATTGGAGTTGATTTGCATGTTCTTCCTCCCTGGGTTGTTGCTGTCCCTTCTCTTTGTGTTAAATAAGTCAGTCCTCAATATTGCCTCACTACCATGCTCCTGAATGTTTGTTGAGGTGTCTGTTCCTCAGGGATGCTCCTTGCACTGGGTAAATATTTAAGAATCACAATAAAAATCTATTTTGTTTAATTAGTGCTTGAATTATGCTGGGAATTACCCAGAACTGAGTACATTTTTTTCCACAGTGAGCAGTTGTGTGTCAGTGTGGATATAGCAAGTCTGAGATAATAACAGAATAAAAACAGAACTCATAGCCCAGAATTCTGCAAGACTTCGAGTTTATTTATAGTGGAAATTCCAGGTAAGGACTACCCCAACTCTCCCAAATGGAATGCCCAAATTCATGTGCTAGGAATGCAAACCACAGAAGGCTTCTTCCCAGATTACCTGCTTTGCTGCCAGGGGTATTTGCTCTGGGAGACTTGACAAATCTGTGCAGCCTTAGAGGTTGATAATGGATGATCTAATCTTGTGTTCATGGCAGGAAAATAAAAATCAGGACTCTTGTAAAATCGACAGGCAGCCTTTCTGCTCTTGTGTTTGTCACTGCTCTGCATTTGTTTTAGCAAATGTTAGAAAATAAATGTAGGTTTTGATCCCAGTTTAATACAATATCAGGGTAATGTATCCACCCCCTTCATCTTTGTTTGCATCTAAGGCAAAGTGATGGGAAGGAGAACATAAGCCTTGACTTGTAAAATGTATTGGTTTTTAAATTTCCCATTTCTAAATAATGTTTCTACCAAAAGACACTTACTCTGGGAGGAAGAAAAGGTTTTCCTACATCATAATTAGCATTAGAGCACTGAAAAATGCAGTATTTCCAAGCAATTTGTATTTAGGCGTGTAAGAACATTTTATATGTCATGAATTTTGGAGAAGGCAGAAGGTAGAACAGGTTTGTGCAGGGCTGCCAGACAGTGTTTACTAAATCAGATGATTCTGGGTTTTGCCTGATGCTTTTCTCTTCTCCCAGGCTGCAAAACCCTTTGTCCAGGGCATCGCTTTCACAAAATTCCCCCCACAGACACCCAGGAGTTGCAGGATTCCCTACAGAGCAAAGGAGTCGTGCTCTGGTTTGGACTTTGAAGACCAATTTGGGCTGGTGAAGGAATCCCAGACTGATTTGGGTTGGAAGCGACCTTAAAGCTTCCAGTGCCACCCCCTGCCATGGGCCAGGACAACTTCCACGGTCCCAGGCTGCTCCAAGCCCTGTCCAGCCTGGCCTGGGACACTGCCAGGGATGGGAGAAAAGGCTTTTCCTTAAGCTTATTTAAAGAACAAAGATTTTTTTTATTTGGCTTTAGCACTAGATGGGGCTAAAGGACTAAGAAGAAGAAGAAAAAACACCACGGGATGTGAAAACCACTGGGAAAAGAGGAGGGAAAAGCCAGTGGGGGCAATGAATGCTGTCAGAGCCCCTTCACTGGCTCAGCTTTGTGACAGGAACCAAACCCTCACCCTGCAGGTGTTGCTTGTCAGCACTGGTGAGGGTCAGTGAGGTGGGGTGGGGTGTAAACCATGAGTAGGATACGCTGGATAGCAGCACTCAGCAGGTGGATCCCAGCTCCTTTCATCCAAGCCTTTCTCTGCAGGTTATAAAGGGCCTTCAGAAAGCAGCATCTCCTCAGCTTTCAACCTGCAGTGTCCAGGAATAACCCTGGGAGACACCACTGCAGAGGAAGGACCCAGGTTTTGTGTTTATGAGCTTACTTTTACATGGATGGGTTTAGTGGTTTACTGGGTGACTTTTTATTTATCATTTCTGCTTTCAAAATACACGAGAAACCTCCTGTTTAGCTTGTTACTCTCTGGAATTTCCCCTCCTGTCCCATCCAGGTAAAAAAACTGTTAGTAATCAGATAAAACAAGGAAATAACAATTTATTTGCAAGCACAATATCCCTGGACTGTTGCAGTTAAGAATTTTAACTCTCCTTATCCATCCTATTGCAAATTGTGCTTATCAATCCTATTGCAAACTATGGTTACCAATCCTCCTGTAAGCCATCCTTATCAATCCCATGGCAAAGATCTGCTGTTGCACCAGCTTTTGCCTGCATTAACCTGAGCATTTGTGTGTAAAGATTTCAGTAAAATTCAACAACCAGCTGTTTTCTCATTTGCTCCATGAGTGTAGAAGCATTTAATGAAATTGCTTATGGTTTAGTGATTTGTATGACATAAACAATATTTCCCTTCTGTCAGACCTGGGCCAATCTTAAATCGCTTGAGGATATAAACATGAGAAAACAAACCCAAGCAATTTAAATTAAATGCCTAATGTACCTGAGGACAGATTATCTGCTCTGCTTCCGTCTTTCCTTTAAATCTTCTCGCAGTGGGGGCTCCTATTTGTTGTTCAGTGTTTTATTGCACAAATACTTCAGATCACAGGGGTGAGGGGATGGGTACTTTTGGAGGGAAGCACCAAAGAAATCCAGAGTCCTTTTAAACCTGTGGTTTCATCATAGAGGAATAAAATGTCCTGAGTTGGAAAAGACCTGTAAGGATCATCTGAGATGCTGGAACAAGTTCTGAGAGAAAAGACAGAGCTCTGGGACAGGGCAATAACCAAAGAACAGCAAGAAAGGACTCACTCCTCGGGGCAAAGAGTTTTTTAGTTTTTCTCATTTCCCTCAGGGTGGAGCTGAGCCAGCTCCAGCTTGGGATGTTCCGGACTTTGCAACAGATCCATTTTTGTCACGTGAATTCACCTTCCTTCCTTTGCCCAGCTTGAGTATGGGTGGCATGGAGATGTTTGTGTGGGCCTTGGTTTGTGATGCTTGTCTTGTGCCTGTGCGAAGAACTCTGGTTTTTAACATCCCAGAGCAGCTGTGGCTGCCCCTGGATCCCTGGAAGTGCCCAAGGCTGGGTTGGAGCAGCCTGGGACAGTGGGAGGTGTCCCTGCCATGACAGGGGTGGGGTTGGATGGGCTTTAAGGTCCCTTCCCATCCAAACCACTCTGTAATTCTATGTTTCATCCTTTTATTTGCTGATATCAAGGGCGTGAAACCTTGGTTGGCTTGAAAGGAGAGTCTTTTCTTCCAGCAAAAGAAAGAGGAAACTCAGGATGTGGTGACCTTATGGAACCCTAAACTCCGCTTCCCTGCAGGCGGGGCAGGTGGCACTAAAACCACAAACCATCCCCTGGGGCTGTGTCCGACAGACCTGGCAGGTTCCCAGCAGCATCCCTGCCATTGCTGGAGTCGCAGTCAGTTCTCTTCTTGGTGTGTCCAGTGATTAGGAGAGTGGTTAATCACCAATTAGGGGACATTGCTTTCAAAAAGGAGGGCTGGGAAGGAAAGGAGCTGCTGTTGGAATATCACACTGGCTTTGGCATTAGATAGGCAGGAGCAATACATTAAAGAGAGCAGCAGAAAGTCTGATGCCACCTACGTTCCTCCCATGCAAGTTTTAATTATAGCTCTGGACTTGGCTGAGACGTGTCATTGAGCCCCGTGTTCAGACAGCTTTTCCATGACTAAAATTGGCTCCCAAGGACGATGTGTGGAGCAGGATGTTGAAACCCAAATGCATTTCAGAGAAGTCATTCTGGGTAGAGCCTCAGAATGAAGCTGAACCTCCCAGCAGGGCACAGAAGTTAAGCCAAATTGCAATTTCATTTGATGTATTCCTCGGGTTTTTCCCAGTTTCTGGGGAAAGCAGATGGGAGGCAGCTCAGTTCAAGCAATGAACTTATGACTGTGAGAGCTTTATGGTTTTTTTTGCCAAGAGACAGCTCTAATTGATTTCCTTGCACTGAGAAAAGTTGTGTTTGGGAGACAATGTATTACTTATCACTGATCTAAAGGGAATTTTCAGCTGGAGCCTTTGGCATAGGTGGAAAGTTATAATTTGAACAAGCAAAGGGTGAGACTTTTTAATCCTTCACCTGGATATTGCTGTACAGAGGCTTGCTCGGTCTTGAGGCATTGATATGGAAAAAAAATGTGTAAGAATAAATTTTCTGTCTTTTTTAGATGTGAAATTTGCCTTCGCCCTTCGGTTCTCTCCTGTCAAGTCACTGCATGAGCCCACGGGATGTCAAGAGATGATGTGGGGAGTGACATCAGCTTGGAAATGGAGTCTGGAAAGTTGAAAATAGTCTAGCAGTCCCTATTAACTTATTCCTATTTTTTTTTCCTGAGCCTTATAAAACATTTCACAGTTGAAGCCAAACTCTGTGGTAGGATGGAAGTGCCATCAGTTGATTGACTCTGCCAGCATCACCCTCAATCCAAAAGTGATTGAATGTGGTATTTTGAGTGTGTCCTTTGATAACCCCTATTAAGGTACTCTTATGTTTTGTTTTAAATTTGAACTTTTGTCTTAAATTTGTGATTTTTTTTCTTGTTTGTTTGTTTTAATATTGAGCTCTGGGCTTAGAGTTGAGGTGAATTGCTCAAGGTGACAAAATTCTGAGGCAAAGAGGGAACTAAATACTGCCAGAGAAGGACTTCCAATAATGATAATATTTTTCATAGAATCATGGAGAGGTTTGAGGCAAGAGTGATCCTCAAGACCATGTAGTTGCAACCCCCCTGCCACTAGAACTGTCTGTTTTTCTCTGAAAACAAAAAGAAACTCCAAACATCTCTGGATAATTTACTGGTCCAGCCACCTGGATGCCATTAGGATTGTTTGTTCCCGGTGTCAGCTCCTGTTGAGGGGATGGAAGCAGATGGAAGGGTGGCTGTCAAAGCAGGGTATATCTGTTTGTGGAGCTTGAATGCAAGACCAGTTTTAAAAGAGAGAGACTTCCTAAAAGAAATGAGTCTTGAAATCTAAGCCTTGCTGAGTAACTAACACAAATAACACCTTCCATTATTTAGGTTGTAAGCAATAAAAAATATTCTTGCTCACGATAGAGAGATTTCTCCATATATACTTGTTTCTGCTGTAAAGTTGATGAATCTGTAATGCACTGCTTAATTAAACATTGCAGGGATATTGCTTTGGAGAGGAAACAAGTAATGAAGGGGATACAGTAAATTTTGGTGATTACAGATACAATTGTTTAGCCCAAGCATTGCATGGTCTGCTTTGCAGGTTAAAAAAAAAACCCAAAGAACACAATTTCTATTAAGCTCTGCCTTGCACTGCTAGCAGTGGATTAGGCTATTAAACTATATTTTCCCATTAATAAAACAAATGTTAATGCATTGTTTGATGCTAATAATGAAGCCATTGTAGGAAGCACAGCTCCTTCCATTAACATTTATCACATCTTGTCAAGGCTGGGGATGCATTCAGGGCTTTTTTCATCAAGGTGAATTGGGAAGGCACAGCAGGAACTTGCTGCCCTCTAAGTCTGCTTTGTGTTTGCCATGTTCTCATGGACAAGGCTGATCCAAGGGCTACAGAGAGCTGAACTTTAAATACATTGAACCATCTGCTACAGCACATCGCTGGCTTCATTAAATTTTATTAATTCTTAGCAGAGCGAGGCAAGGAAGAAAGCTCAGCTAAGCTCTGCCTGTTTCTAGAATCTATTAGGAGGCTGGAAATGCCCCACCAGCTCTTGTGGTGCTGCACAGATAAAATCTGCCTGTCCTAAGATTTTTGTATTGCAGCTTGTCTTGGGCACAGCCATAGAAACCTGGAGTTGGAATTTGCCCCTCTCCAGCAAATCCAGCGTGGCTGGGTCTCGCTGTGTTGGGGTGTGTGTAATTAGGAGGGCATGGGGATCGTTTAATACCTTGTCCAGCTGCTAATGGCTTGATTTTTACCTTTTCCAGACAAGGGGTCAAACTGGGTGCCTTACTGGGGTGGGGGTGTGTGCATTGATCAGGGCATGGGGGTGGTTTAAGGCCTCAACCAGCTGTTAATATCTTGATTTTTATCTTGTCCAGAGACTTGAGAGAAACTCTCTGGTCTCAGGAGGAAAAATCTGATGCCTTCAACTGGGTGCTGCTTACTGCAAGGAGATGGTGTGGGTGCTTTTCCCCCCACATCTCTTTGTCAGAGGTGGTTGGGCATTAATCCTTTTATCCCTGGCAATTCTGTCAGCTGGCAGGGGAGAGAGCAGGAGGGAAAGCACCTGCACAATGTTTATTCTCCCTGTTGTAAGGCTTTGTGCAGACACTCAAATTGGGGATATTTTAATGCAAACAATGATATTTGCAGATAAAAGCCAGTGTAAGGGGATGGCTGGAACCTCCCCATCAGTGATTTGGGTGATGCTGCACACAACATTGCCTCTTAAAGGGAGAGCAGAGGGCACAGGCAGCTCCCTGAAGCCTCAGCAAAAGCTGTTTCCAAGGTCTGCTGGAGCTCTGGGAGCAGGGCCACACTGCACACAGGTGTCTGTCACAAACAGGATGGCAGTGCCTTCAATCACAAATAAATGAAGTCGAAGGCAAAACAAGCTCCTGGTATGTTGGGGCTGTAGCCACAGCTGTGCCCTCCTCATCCAGAGCAGCAATTTGTGTGAAAAGCCTGTGAGGGAGGCACAGTTGGTGAGTCAAAGGCATAAATACCCATAACCAAGCAGGTTCAAAGAAATGATGCTGTGCTATTAAGAAGAACATTTCTGAGTCCTCCAGCTGCGTGACTGTATCAATTCTGAAATGTACCAATTTACAAATATGCCTCAAAAAGCAAACCCAGCCATTTACTGGGATGCTTCTGAAGTCTGTGCAGACCTTAATTTGCCTTATCAAAGGATAATCTGTTGTGTCAAGACTTGGAAGAAGGCTTGATTAAAAAAGCAGTTGAGGTGTAAATGCTGACATCTGAGTGGTGCAGAAGTAGTATTTATTTAAATGCATTTAATGAGTGATTTTGGTAATGTGGCCCTGTATTTAGAGTTGCATTAGTGACTCTTCCTTCAGCAGGGTTTAGTCACACACTGCTTGTCATTTGCTGCCAAGATTATTCCTCTGCTCTGTGGCAGGCCCCAGGCTCGTGGTGTTAAATACTGGACAAAGCCAGCAGGCTCAGCACCCTGAAGCTTTTGTTGAGAGCAGGGAAGGAAGGGAAGCAGCCTGGGATTTTGGGGTTTAAAGGGCTGATGGCTGATGTGCCCTTCTGTGCTCTCCTGGCAGCTTGTTTGCTCTCACTGTTGTCCATCAACAGGGTTTAGGTAAAACCTTGCCTAAAGGTGTGAGCTTCAGGGCTCGGCTTGGGAGAGCTCAGCTCCAGTTCTGCCAGCGTTAATGGTTTGTATAACTTTTTAAGAGTTTTTATAAGTATTTAAATTAAAATGAATTATCTTAAATATTTGCTTAAACAACAAATTAAACCTCCTCCGACTGTTTTGGCATGAATACAACTTTCCATTAGGCTGCAAATGATTATTCTGAATAGGACAAATAAAAATAGATTTTTATCTACAGTTTTGATGCCTTCAGCACTCAGCCCTGCCCTGCTGGGTGCAGGTGGAGTGGCTGCCCATTCCTACCTGGAAATCTCCTTCAGGAGCTGCCATCCATGTAGAATTATGGCAAAACCCCACTGTTGCTTGGAATAAAGCTGTAGCAAGGGATCCTAATCCCTTTTCTCCCCAAGACACTCTTTGGTGTGTTGGGCCACATTAATGTTATATAGTATTTGGTGAAGCAAATACTCTGTATTTGAATACCTGTAATTATGCATAACACAGTTCAGTAGCTGGAAATAAACTTAGTTTTGAATAAAATATGGTTGTTTCTGCTAACATTGTAATGCTTGGGCTTATAATTTCCCTCTTAAGCAGTCTTCAATTTTTTCTGAAACACTTAAGTGGTTGTGTTTGGGTTTTATTAGTCTTTTTTTTGTTTGCCTACCTTCTCCAGCGTATTCAAAGCATCCCCTATTCAAATCATATCATTTTAATTAAATTCAATAGAACATTTCTCCTTTCTGTATTAATGTACCTGTGTTGGCTCTTCTAATACAGGCTCAAATATTGTCAAATTTAAAATTCAGCTCTTTCATGAAAGAGAGGAACATAAAGAGAATGCAGCTGGTGAAACCAACTGTTGGAGCAGCTGATGAATATAACCTCCTGCTCAGGTACAGAGCGTAAAATCCTGTTGTACAGACAATTTCCTCCAGATTGAATGAGACCTGAAATTTAATTCATTGTTGAAGAGGGTTTGTGTTTTTAAAAATACTCCCTGGGGAAGCGTTGTGCCTTTCTGCATGGCACAGAGGTGAGCTCAGCATTACCTGTGTGACGCGGCTGATGGACGAGATGGTCAGATTTGCCAAAAACCACATTAAAGACCTCAAGGTATTTGGGATTCAGCGCTGCTCAGGCCTGCGGGAGCAGGTGGTGGCAATGGCAGTGGCTTTCTCACCCCCACTGGCACCAAGTGCTGCAAACAGACTTTGCCTTTTCTGAGAAAGGTGGAAGGATTTCAGAGCCTGTGTGAAAAGAAGCTCTCCTTGCAGGCTCTGGGCTGAAAGCTGAGATCCTGGAGTGGCTCTGGATGAGGTCAGTGGGGCTGGCTGCTCATCCTTTGTGTGGGGCCGTTCACCTGTCAGTGGAGCTGTTCACCCCTCGGTGGGGGCTGTTCACCCTTCAGTGGGGCTGGCTCACCCTTGAGTGGGGGCTGTTCACCCCTCAGTGGGATTGTTCACCCCTCGGTGGGGCCGTTCACCCCTCAGTGGGGCTGTTCACCCCTCAGTGGGATTGTTCACCCCTCATTGGGGCCCGTTCACCCCTCACTGGGGCCCGTTCACCCCTCATTAGGGCCCGTTCACCCCTCAGTGGGGCCGTTCACCCCTCAGTGGGGCCGTTCACCCCTCAGTGGGGCCTGTTCACCCCTCAGTGGGATTGTTCACCCCTCATTGGGGCCCGTTCACCCCTCATTGGGGCCGTTCACCCCTCAGTGGGGCCGTTCACCCCTCAGTGGGGCTGTTCACCTTTCAGTGGGGCTGTTCACCTTTCAGTGGGGCCGTTCACCCCTCAGTGGGGCTGTTCACCCTTCAGTGGGGCCGTTCACCCCTCAGTGGGGCTGGTCACCCCTCAGTGGAATTGTTCACCTTTCAGTGGGGCCGTTCACCCCTCAGTGGGGCCGTTCACCCCTCAGTGGGGCCATTCACCCCTCAGTGGGGCTGTTCACCCCTCAGTGGGGCTGGCTGAGCCTCCTGGCTGCTGTGTCCCTGCTGGTAGCTGAGGAGCCGTGGGCCCCTTTCCCCATGGATCCAGCAGGGAAAAGCGCTGCTCAGGGCTGGCCTGGCAGCTCTGCTGTCCCCAGAGCTGCTGCAGGAGGAGGCAATGCAGGAAGAAGTTTGGATGTGTCCCCAGCTGGTTTATGTCAATTATTAGAGCAGCTTTGTGGCCAGATCAGGGCTGGCCTTTTTCACACACCTTTGAAAACAAGATGCTCTTGCTCTGCAAGCTTCTTTTTGTGGTTGGTTTGTTGGTCCTGAGCTCCCTAGAACTCTGCTCCAGCCACTGCTTCCCATATGCTCACTTGGCTTTGGGAAGGGCTCTCTGGGAAGCCATCCAAGAGGAGCCAGATCTTCCTCTGCAGATAATGTTGTCTCTTTTAACAGCAGAAAATAATCAAATATTAAAGAGACTGGCTAAAGGCTTTACAAAGAACAATTAATTTGATGAACTGAAAGTTTGCAGATCAATTTTCAGCAGTGGGCAGCCTCACTTGACAGGCCTCAATGCTATTGTCACACATAGAGGCACGGATTAGAACGTCTGTGTGATCTGCAGATTGTTCCATTGTTCCTTGCTCATTACATGTGCCCGAGTAGAGGAGACTTTTCCATCCCTGTGACCTTTAGAAGAACATTGATGGAAACCTGACACCTTTTCCCCATGCACTCACTTCCCACTGTGACTCACTAAATGTGGAGTGGACTTACAAATTTAGCAAAAAAGGCATTTGTGGCCCATTCTCTCATCAGTTATTTTCTTCCAGGTTCAGAAGCTGCACTAAATCTGTTCACATGAACCTCAAAGTATTTGTCTTAATTTTGTTTCTGCTCCTTCACTACCAGCTCCTCTGCCCTGTCCAGGAGGATGAAGTCCTGATTTTACATTGGTTTTATGATAGATAGAGAACAATCCTCTCATGTTCAATGTGAGCTCTACTTTTCTGTAAGAAACTCAATTTGAGCAGTTTCCACCTGATTGTGTGGTCACTCTCTTACAGGTTCTACCTGTTCTTGCAGAAACTCCAGACTGTGACTAGAACACAGTGGGTTATTTCTGTTTTCAAATTGTCCATCTCTATATTAGCTGATGAATTATTTGCAGCTCAGTTGTTTCCATGTCATTGCCTTAAATTTGTTCTTTAATAGAGAAGTAATCTGTAATGGTTTTCCTCTCCCTTAAATCTGTATTCCACTGCTGTCCCATCTGTTTAATACATTTCCTTTACAAACCTAGACTTATGTTTTAGCCTAATGCCAGCAAGAGCTCTGGTAAGATTTATTCTTCTGGGCCCTAATGTGAAATGAGTAATGCTACAACTGGCTCCCTTGGTAGCAGCAACACGTTTTACTACTGATTGTCAGAAACAATAAAAAAGAGAATACGTTGGTAGTTTCTGTGCTATTTGCTTCCTGGGATTTTTGTCCTGGATTAACCTCCACAAATATATTGCATGAGTAACTTTGGAGAAGTTCTCAGCATGTGTGGAGGAGAGAAACAGGGGAAAGAAATTGAGTTGTTGCTGCAGCTTGTAATAATAAACATCAAGAGAAGAGGGGTTCATGGCAAGGCTGTGGTGACCCACTGGGCAGCCACTGTCAGGTGTCCCACTGTGTTTTCCAGAGCACAGAAATCATCTCTCAGCATGGAATTTGCATATCCACAGCTGGAATAAGTTGTGTCTCAACTCGGCCAACGCACAGCCTAACTGTGTGCTGCAGGTAAGACTCAATTCAAAGCTTTTAAAATTTCAGTTCTCTTACAAAAGCTAAGATTTGTCAAATTCTGGGTTCTAGCACAGCCCAAAGGATAAGGGTGTTCTTTTAAAGCAGTGGTTGACCACTTGGCTCAGCATCAGAGGCTGGATTTGTTTTATTAGTTTTGCTGGGAAATGCAAGTGCTTTCTGCTCTAGTTATTAAATAGATGAGCATGGCCTTCTTTTATAGATAAAAATACTGTGAAAATTAATCTGTTAACAGCCATCCAAGGTCTGAGTGAGTGGGCAGAGAAATCTTCAGTGCTGAGTGCTGTTCGGCTCTTACACTAAGGAGTTCTAGAAAGACATCAAAGAAAGCTAAAGTCTGAATATCAAATGGAAAGGAAACCAAGCCTGACATTTGAAAGTTGATATAACCCCCTCCTAGAGCGGGTCAGGAGTTCTTCGAAGCTGCCCCACTTTCAGCTGGTAAAGTTCAGGAGTTCTTGTTGTTATTTAAAATACATCAATTACCCGTGAGTGTCAGGAAAGGAGTGGAGTCGCTGTGAGAAGAGCCTCCAGGGAAAAGGCTCTTTCCTTTTCTCTGTGGAGGTTGGATGAGGGTTTTCTCATGGCTTTTCTCCTTGGCCAAAAGAGATTTTCCAGGGCTTAAAGGCCAGGACATGTCACCACCTGATCGTGGCAGAGTGATGGTGATTTAATGCTGTTCCACTCGTCCTTAAGGACTTAATAAGGTTTCTGATGCAGTTTGTGCCTTTCTTCCATCTCCAAGCCCTGCTTCCCTTTGGGTCTTGGCAGGGAATATTGCTCTCTCGCAGTAATAATCACGATTTTATCCTTTCCCATGTCCTCTCCCATGCTGTGGCGTTTTCTGATTTGTGCGTTGAGCTCCACAAGTAAGCTTTTCAGAGAATTTATTTGGCTGTTTTACATCAGTGAGAGTGGCTGAGTTTGGGAAGCACTACAGACCCAACTGTGATCTACCTGTGGTGGGGTTTGGACAGAGCTGTCCCATCCCAAGTTTCCCTCTTGGCTCTGCCTTGTTGGAGCTGCTCTTTGACACCCTCACTGTGCTGCAAAGGACACAGGGAGGATTTTACATTTGTTTTACATGTGTTGGCCTAAACTTCCAGAGGCTTAAAATCTAATATCCCACCTGTCCTTTCTGTCATTCACTCGAGAAGGATGAGAGGCAGTTAAAGTCCCCAGCAATGTCAGGATCATGACAGGAGCTGACGGTTTTGGGTTGTGGAGCGTTGCTTGCCATGAATGGCTCTGCAGAAATTGTCACATCTCATCTTTGTCTCCTGCCAGAGCTCCCTTTCCCGAAATGCTGCTGGGCTTTCCAAATTGCAATGATTTAGAAACAACTACCTTGTCTAAATTTTTTATTTTCACCCAGGCAAAGGCGCAGGGAAGTGATGTTGCAGAGAATTTGTGGCTGCCCCTGGATCCCTGGCAATGTTCAAGGCCAGGTTGGACAGGACATGGAGCAACCTAGGACAGTGGGAGCTGTCCCTGCCCGTGCCACTGGGTGGGATTTAAGGTCCCTTCCAACCCAAACAATTCCATGGTTCTGTGATTCTATGACTTAACAGAGCCAGCAGTGCAATGTGGAGAGGGGAGGGAGTGTTTGAGCTTGGAGCTGCTGCTGACAGCACTGATTTAACAGTTTATCCAGTTACAGCCCAAAAAGAAAATCAAACATTTTCAGTTTGCTAGGAACGGGAAGCAAACTTTGCATTGCAGCTGTGCTGAGAAGTTGGCTGTGATGAGACACCCAGGATGAAATGTAAAATTTGTTTCCTACTAGGAAACTATTTTACTCTGGTGGAAACTGCACGTTGGCCACATCTGGGCACAGCTGGATAAGTGATTATAAAATGTGGGATGGCTTTTGCCTTGGAGTTTATGGCCTAAATAAATAGTTCACAGCACGAGGGTTGGTGTGAATATCTGAGCACTGGCCAAGGAGCAGTTATGCAGAGACACCTGGGCAAGCTGGGTCCCAAAATCAGCCCATTTATAGGTGGGAGTTCATGGCATCAAGAAAATATTAAGTGTGATTTGAATTAAATTCCTTAGGATTCTCCCTGGCTCATGTTCAATCCCAGCTTACCACTTAAAGTGTAATTTTTGGAGGACTTTAATGAGATCTTTAAATAGTTTGCAGCTGTGTGAGCTCTAAAAATAAAGAAAAAAAATCAAAATTGGCTTTGAACACCTGTGAGCTTGGGATTTGGCTGGGAACTCTGTGCTGCTTCCCCATCTCTTGTTGGCATGTACAAAACCACGGTTATAATCTGAAAGAGATGTGTTTTAAAATATCATTTAGGTGAAGTGTGACTCTTCACCTGGTAAATAACAGAAGAAAATACAGAGGAGGGAAAGGAAGTCAGATTTTACAGACACAAATGGATGCTGGGGCTGAATCTCCAGGCCCAATTTATTTCAAGGTTTGGTGGTGTTATTTGAAAATGGAGCTGCAAACTTTTGAAGAAATGATTTCCTAAATTGGAAAAATTCTGTGCTCAAAATCAGCTGAAGATAGGAGCTTGTGAGAGTAAATTATGCCCCTGGGAATCATGGTATTCTCTTAGCAAAAGAGGTTTAGAGAGAGAGCAATGAGTGGAGATAGATGCAGTGAACTCAGTCTTTGGGAGCTAAGACTGATTTATTAGTTTTGTTTTTGCAGTTTGTGCTACCATCAGTACCTAAAGATGGATTTATAGTTTCTTAAGTAAATTCATCACCATGTAGACAGGATTTTCTTTTTTTTTTTTTTTTCTCTTTTGCAGAGGGAGAGATCTCACTGAAAAAATCAAGCTCATCTTTCGACTCAGATATTTTTCCCCCTTAAATAAGCAAAGCAGATAAAGAAATGCCATTTCCATGAGTTTGCAGGCCAGCTGTAGGGGATCACACCCCTTTCTAGAGGAGTGTTTCTGCCTGAGTGGCTGTGCCAGAGGCTCCAGATGATCCCCTCTGGAATGGGAGGGTCTCCAGGCACGGGGGGGCTGCATGTCATCGTCGACATCCTCAGCACTGCCCCACTTACCTGCAATCCCCAGTCAGGATGAAGTTCAGCCTCCATGGTGGGAGGAAAAAGCTAATTTCTTCAGGAATCTGATCTTTCACACTGCTCCTGAGCAGTTTGGATAATCATCTTTAACACTTACTTGGGTCCTTGCAAAGCAGCTTCCTAATTTATTTATAGGTTGAGAGCACAAAATGCTGGTTGGCTGACTTGGATCCACAAGGAGGAGAATTTCAAAGAGCTTTTCTTTATGCAGCCCTGTAACAAGAGGGCTGGGAAGCTTGTCCTAGAGTGGGAAGTTAAAGGCTTGGTAAAGAATTGACCTCTGAGCAAACTGGGAGTCTAAATCCAAGCTGATCATGGTCCAGCCAGAGTTCATCTGTTTGACTTTGGGGTTGAGCTCTAGCACAAGGACTTTGAAACCTGTGGCAGATGCAAAAGGATGTAGTGTTACAGATGAGCCTTGAATATCACAGAGGAAATTGGTTTGCTTAATTTAGTGAGGAATGTTACAGAAAAAAACCCTCAATTTTTTTCAGTTTTATTGGTGAATATAAATAGAATCTCATGGGGAGTTGCTGCTAACACAATGTTGTGCTGCACAGGATGTGGGCTGGTGATTGAAACCCCTCACCACCCTCACTGGGTGCTTTGCTGCTCTCCAGGCAATGAAAAGGAAATCCATTCTTGTAACTGGATCTTTTCATTGGCCCAGAGCTGTGAGATCTCTTTTACCCTCTGTCCCAGCTCACAGCAGTCAGACACTGCCAGGGCTGAGTTTATTCTGCCAAAGAAAGACAAGCGCCTGCCTGAAGGAGCGTCAGTGTTTATGGTGATGGCCTCAGTGAATTTCTGCTGCAGGACACTCTCATTATCCTCCTGGCATTGTTTTGGTGTCTCAGGAATTCCAGAAGTTCCTATAAAGCAAACACCTTTTTGGATGGTGTCTGCCACCAGAGCTGGAAACCCTGCAGAATCTGTGGATGGTGCTGTGGAGTAAGAAAACTGGAGGTGAGAGGTGAGCCAACAGATACAGACATTCTTGTCCTCTGAATCCCCCAGTCAGAGTCACATGCAGGATTTTTAACTCACTGTATCCCCCACTTTCCACCCTCCCTGTGTGTCCAAGTGACACCAGCAAGGTAAACTCCACCCTGTGCCACTTGCTGCGTGCTCCTGACATGCTCGCTGCAAAATAATTGATAGGACCTGGTGTTAAACCCATTAATTTTGATTTTGTTAGCTCATTAATGGGCTTCCTTCATCTTTTCCCTTCGCTTTGCAAAGCAGCCTTATATTTAATTAGCATTGGCTGACCTTTTTTATTTAGCTGGTAAAAAGGTTATTTAAGTCCTTAAGAAGAATTACAACAACTACAGTCGACCTGGTAATTGGTGTATTGTTCCAGGGGCTAATTAGGCTCCTGTTGGGTCTGGGGAGGGCTGTGCACGTGTGGTACAGGTGTGTGGGCATAAATCAGAGTTGTTCTTCAGCAAAGGTCAAGGCACAGGGGAAGGAAATGGTAAAAGCATTGGCAAACCACTTAATGGCTGGTGAGAAGGGAGATCAGCTCCTCCTCTGAAGCTTTCCCAGCAAATGTTTGTGGTTTTCTTCTAAACACAATTAAGATGTAGTCTAGTGACTATTTGGGGCTCCTTCTGATGATGCCTGGCCAGGCAATTGCGGTGATTAATGACAAACACCAGCAAGCCTGAGTCCCCAAAGATGGGTGTCACACTGTGGACAGTTGTAGAGATAAAAGCAACAGCCCATACAGGATTCAGGCAATGGTGTCTCTGCACCTGTGTAAGCTTGATCAGGTGTGTTCATCCTTACCTGCCACCTTTGTTCTTTCCGAGATGTAAAAACTGCAGATAATAAAAGAAATCCTGGTGTTTGCTGCCCTTGGAATTTCCATCAATCTCCCAAGCCTGGCAGAGTCTGTTCTGAAAAATGAAAATAACAGGCATTCATTAAAACTTGGTTCAGAGAAGTTCATAGGCTGAGCTGGGTTTTTTTGCAAGTTTCCTTGGAGAAAGCCATGGGAAGGTGTTTAAAAAGACTCTTTAGCCACGGTCTAAACCACAAAACTCTTCCATTTCTTATATGGGCTCCTTTACATCAGGCTACCAACAGTGGGAGTGTTTCATTGCTTTGTCCCTTTCAGCAGGTCATTACAGTTCCTTCCAACCCAAATTCTGTAATTAGCCCACACTCCATAGAAATTCTGTAGGTTGCCTATCCATTATCTGGCTGGATCCACAAACATCTGCCCAACCCACCAGAAACCTGAATCATAATTACACAAAACCTGCAATTATCATTCCCGTACCTCTGGAATTATTGTGATAAAGCCTGAGCACTGTCCCCCTGCCCTTTAGGGTTAAGTGTGTTCAGCCCATCAATCTTTTAGTGATCTCAGATTTGCTGGTGTTTGCAGCACAATAAATCTGCCACAATAAACCCCACCTAAATGGGGGTTTACCATTCCCTTGCTGCCTGTTGGTGGATCAGAACCTCCTCAGCCTGGCTAGGATTAAATCAGCTCCCCCAGCCCAGCCCCTGCACCTAAATATTTGTAGGGAACTCCTTCCATGAGGTTTGTTACAGCTGGGAAAAAGAAGGGGAGGGTTTAAATCCCACAGTTTCATTTTTTCCTTCTCCTCCCATATCTTCCCTGGCCCATTAATTTCCTTTCCATACCAAAGAGACTTTGTTAACGAAACTACAAGTGTCACCAGCCATTTTATAAATCTTTTCTTTAGCAATTTAAAGGAGAATTTCTGGAAGAGCAGGAAAACAAAGGAGTTTAGATAACTGATCTGTTAAATGTAACAAAAACAACACAATGCAGAGTTTCTTTGAGTAGAAAACCAAAACCTGAACAGAAGAATTAATGTGTTTGGTTGATGGCATGCAGGTAATTGCGTTAATGAGCTGATGTTTTTAACTACACTGTTTGTAACATTTTAGGAAGTTTTGGGTTTGGTTTTGCCAGGTGGGATGGGGTTTGGAGTGCCCTGGGATAGTGGAAGGTGTCCCTGCCCATGGCAGGGGGTGGAAAAAGATCTTTGGGGTCCTTTCCAAGCCCAAAAGCTCAGTGATTCTATGATGGGGACCTTTTCCCGACAGAGTTTCCCAGTAAAATTGTTATTGGTGCAGGTGCCCAAAACTTGCCTCCTGCCAGCTTTGTGTTTATTTGAAGTGCAGAGGCAGAGAGAGCAATAGACACTGTATTTGTGTTACAGCCTGAGATGGGATCTTTAACAAGGGTACTCAGGAGAAAGCAGGTTGCTTTTTAACATTTTACATCAAAAATCAAAATAGCAGGCTGGCTGGAGCAGAGGCAACCCAGGAAAATTACCATCCCTCTTAACAGATGCTTTCCTTGAATGATTCAGGCATCCGTAAATGATGAGTGTGCTGCTCACTCAGGGCACTGGCTTTTATTTTTATTTTGCCTGTTTATAGAGAAACAAAATCTATTCTCTGTAGATAGCAAGGTAACAAAAATCAGAGACAGAGCTCCTGTTGTTTGCCAAGGCACGGACATGTTTGACATCCTTTTTGTCTGCAGGTTTAATCTTGAGAAAGAAACTTGCTCCAATCAATTCCTAAAATCTCTACAAGGCAAAAAAATATTGCAATGGAAAAAACATTTGCCTGTCTTTAGTGTTTGGTTCAGCATAATTAACATGACTAATGCAAGACAATTTTCTGATAGTTATTATATTAGAGAGCTTAGCTGACTCATAACTGCCCCCATGACAGAGCTGGAATGCAAATTACTTGGATAGAAATAGCACCGAGCTGGTTTGATTAAAATGTGATACATATTTTGAATTAAAAATATTCAAGGTCTTACAAAATGACCTTAATGTCACGTCTCTCCCTGCCCCAAGGCCACTGAAGAAATTTGCATGATCATTTGGAGACAGCTTTTCCCTTCTGCCTCTCCATAGTCTCTGCCATTCATGGAAAAACAGGGGAGCTGATTCTGTTCCTTCCCTGAGCTCAGTTACAGCAGAATAATGATGGAGAATTTTGGCCTCTCTTTGTGAACCTGGCTGCTTTAGCAGAGTTAGGAAGATAATTGAGCTAACAATAAACCACCAGACTCTCTTCCTCATTAAACACCAGAGCCATCTCCAAGTTTCCCCTCAGCCCCTAAAATCTGGCTGTGTCCAGTCACCTCCAAACCCCTGAAATGCCCGAGAACAAAATGTTTTTTGAGATGGTTTTGAAGATTTTTGTGTGTTCTAAATTTTGGCTGAAGGGCTGTAACTTGGGCACTTGGGCCTAAGAGAGGGTCAGAAAAACCTCCTCTATGAGAGGTCTGAAAAGCCTCTCTTAATTTTCCAATTCATATTCCAATTAACTTTTCAATCTTTAATTTTCCAAATTGTCTCAATTTCCTTATTTTCTCTTTTAAATTCCAGCTTGTAAAGAGAGGATCTGCAAACACTCTATAAGGGGGTTTTGCTTCTGCAGCAATCCCACATTCCAGGCAGCCTGGGAAGGAGCAGAGCTCTGGATGGAAAAGACAGTTGAAAATTAGAAAGTTATTACAGAGAATTGCCCCAAAACACAGGATTTCAAAGTCAGCTTTCTTCAGAACTCCAATGAAGTGGTGCAATGAGATTCTGTGTCACCCACACCAACACATTCGAGCTGGAATTCAGACACATTTACAGGTAAAAGGATTATTTTGCCCATTCTCCTCCTGGCCCTGAGCAAAGCAGCTGCTTTCCCGTGGATCCTGAGGAGCAGAGTTCACTCAGGGTCCAACTGCACGGGGGTGACACCCAAGGCTCTTCATTGTCTCTGTGGCACAAATAAAAATTTGCATGGACTTGGGGCATAAACAAACCCTCGGTGCCCTTTTCTGTTCCCAGGCTCGCTCAGATTTCAAAACCCGCTTGAAAGACCTGAGGTCCAACCCCGCTGCACCTCCTGGCACAGCTCTTTAGTGTTTTTTATTTAAAAACACATCAGACCGGAAAAATTGCTCCTTAAATCTGATTTTTGCAGCCAGAGCCCATCCCAAATTTTTAGCATGGTTTAACTCCCACTCCCACACTCTGTTCTGCTGTATGAGCTTGTTTTGGTGCACGGTGGGGAACAGATCTGTGATAAAAGCTCTTTTACCAAGACTCTTTTCATTTTATGGCCTGGAGACTTGGGTTTTCTCTTCCTATTCCCCACCATTCATTCACTCATTCATTCCACGTGCTTTACTTCTGACCCTCTGCTTCTTCATTTTTTGATACCTGGAGATATGTTTGATAAGGACTAATCAGTTATCACTAATCCACCTCTACCTGCAGGGATGCTGCCTCACTTATTAATGTGTGCAGCACAGCGTGGCTGTTACTCTTCCTTCTACCACTGCTGGGTATCACTCTGCTCTTTCATGGCTCTTTTAGCTGAGAAATAATGCCAATATTTCCCAGAACACCCCTGAAGATAAGGATTTGAATGTAGAAAGCACAACTCCAGGCTGAAGTTAAAAATTAAGGGAGGAAGGGGAGGCCTGGATTTGAAATAGGTAGTGCGAGGTGACCAGTGCTGAATAAAGATATTCCTGCCCCAAGGGATCATCCAGGGGGATCTCCTGGGAATGAGGCAGCCCTTGGGCCTTGAAAATGCTTCCCACAGGATGAGCCCCCACCTTGGGTTCCACTGCTGGTGGAAGGTGGAGTCACTTTTGTCATCACTGCCTGTTTCATCCTCTCCTGGTTATAACATCCACCTCCATCTGAATCCCATTATGCACTGGAATGAACACCTCCATTTACTGCTGTTCCTTGTGCCTCTGGCCCATGGATTTGCTTTCAGGACCTCAGATGCAATAGCTGTAGTGCTCTTTACTGCAGCTTTTGTCTCTTCTGGGGAGCAAACAGCTCCTAAAGGCCCTGCTCCTTCCTCCCTTAACCCAACACAGCTCAGACATTAAAATATTCAGGACTGGAATTTACAGTGGGTAGGGCTGAGCTGGTCCCCAGTTCCCCTGAAGGTGGCAGAGAACCATGGAATTGTGTAGAAATTAGAAATAGGTCTGGGAAAGGCCTTTAAGAGCATCAAATCCAACAGGCATCGAATCCATCCAGGGATGGGGACTCCACCGCTGCCCTGGACTGCTTCTGCAAGGGCCTGAAGTATCCAAGGCCAGGTTGGAGGAGCTTTGCAGCAATTTGGGACAGTGGAAGGTGTCCCTGCCAGGGCAGGGGATGCAATGAGATGGGATTTAAGGTTCCTTCCAACTGTGATTCCATGAAAGAAAACTCCAAAACACAGAAGGGACTTTTTGACTGTTTCAAATCATCACACACGTAAATATTTATTGTACTTGTGCTCTTCACCTGTTTCCTTGTGTGTCACTTGACTCTCAGCTGTAATTACTCACATTATTAGGAGTAAAATGTGTTTGGAAGGTCTCACCCTCCCACCAGCAGCAATGCCCTGTCATCTGCATTCCAACCCACGCTTTTCTGTCAGTAATCTGTTTGTTATTTACACCTTGGCTTGGTTTTGACCTAAAGGTGTTGCAGTGCTTAGTACAGGTCTTGGCTTTCCCCATGGCCAGCACTAACAGCAGGCACATTTCCCTTGCACTGGATGGCCTTGGCATTTTTTAAATTAAAATTTAAAAAAACCTCTGTCTGGGCGTTGAGAATGACATCCAGGAACCTTTGGGATTCTGCAGATGAACCAGAGGAGTTAAATAATAGATTATTATTAAACTGTACATTATTTTCTTTAGTATAAATACTGAATTGTCAGCCCAGGATTGCCAGAGCCCTGCAGCAGCAGCATTTTTATGCTTCTGGGAGGGAAAAAAAAAGGAAGTGTTGTTCCGGTATGTGCCAAGTGCCAGACTTTTTATAATCCTTTAGGAAGGCTTTTCTTACCTTGTTTTATTCCTTAGATATTGTAAAGATAAATATTTATGGATAGGTCAGCTGCCTTCATGAGAAGGATTCCCATGGAAATTGCTGCTCAGTGCTCCCTCTAGACTGTCAGATTCTTTCCCAAGTGATCCAAAGGGAATTCTTCACATGAAATTGTAAAAAAATTGAGTGAGTGGAAATGGGGCTGAGGGGTGGTGCAGGGGGTGTGGAAAAAGACATTTATTGAAGCAGAATGGAAAGTAAGAGGTCTGGAAAACGGAGCTGCCTCTGGAAGCCAGGGAGCCAAATGCCTGCAGATGCAGGCACAATAGATTATGGAAATTATTTGGGATAAATGGGCCTGGATGGCCTTGGCAGCAGCCGAGTGTCACAGGGGCTCATTGAATATGCTCAAAACATCCAAGTGTTTGTTTCTCTGCCACATGCATTTTTCCACAAGATGAGGAACGAGCTTGAAAATAATACCTGAATTAATTTGCAGCGTCCTCTAGGCCTGGTTTCCTGAGGAAATGGGATTGGAGAAGCAGAGCACATCACACTGCTGCTCTGCTCTGCCCGGCTCCTCAGCCTTGAGGCTTCTCTGCAATCTGTGTTTTACTGGTGATTTGTGGTAAAAAGATCTAACAAACCTGCAAATGGCAGAAGTCTGTCACAGAGCCACTACCAAGAGTTGGCTGTCCAAAATTTGATTAAGGAAATGAAAGCCTGGCAGGGATAAATCCTGCACTCTTTTGACCTTCATCGTGTTTGCCATCACTTTGTCCTAACTTTGTATTTATATTTTATGGTTATGAATTCCCTGGCTAGAAATGTTTGATAATATTTTCAGCTGTTTGCTTTGGTGGAAGTGTTTGACTCAGCACTGAGAGAAAAAAAAAAGACTTTTCAGACTGAAAACAAACACTTGAAACTTTGTCTGGTACCTGCCTGTGGCTGCAGTTCTGCTTTTGAGTGTTTCCTGCTTGCTCTGGCTGAGCTCTGCAGCTCCTGGTAGATCCCCGTCCTCTGTGGTGGGATGCTGCTTTGTTTTGCCAGAGTGAATTGAGGGAGATTTAATTTAGAAATTTAATTTAGCCCTGCCTTAGGGAAATGGAGTCTGGAGATGGTGTGGTGATGTTTGTATGTGTCTTTTCCTGTGTCTCTTTTGGCCTCCCAGTCTGATTCCCCCTCAGCGAAAATTTGAATTCCTCTGCCAGAAGCAGAGGGGGAATAAAACCCCCATTTTGGGGGAATAAAAACCCAGTATTGTGTTGGAAAGCAGTGTTTTAGCAATAATCCAAATGCACAGTGTAGGGAAGAAGAACCATTCCAAACCCCTTCCACAAGAATTCTCTTCCTCACTGTTCCAAACCCCTTCCACAAGAATTCTCTTCCTCACTGGAATTTCCTGCCTGGAAGGGATTTCGTATTTGGAAGACCATGACTAAGGGATTTCTTTAGCTGCTGACAAATGTCTTGTTTTGAATTATTTGAGTTTGCATTCTTTGGGGGAAGAAAAATACTCTTAATACACATCAGTGGGTTCAACCAGCACAGAGAGAGAGCTCTGCTCCTCATCTTAAAGACAAATGTACAAAGTGCTTAAATGGCTGAAAAGTGCAAGGTGGATAAGTTCATATTGAAAATAGAATCCAAGACTGAGTAGCCAATGTTGAGCCCTTATTCAGAGTGAGCTGCTTTAACCAGATGCAATTCCCTCACCATTAATATGTGCCAGTTGGATTGTAAATGATAATAATCATTCAGTGATTTGGGGTACACCAGATGTGGGCTTTGCCTCCAGTGTATTCACGTGGCTACAAAAACTGGTGTTATATCTGAGGTCTGCATCCAAAAATTCAATTACTTTACTCCATTTATTCCAATTTCTGCATAATTTAGGTTCTGGATGGAGGGGATGGCTCTGTAGTGGCATCAGTGGCACTACTAACTCTGTGCTCCGCATTCAGATCTGCTTTATTTGCAACATTTAAAATCACAGCTAGAGCTTAAAGATCAATGGATCAGGTTTAATTTTTGGAATTCTGCTTTAGAAGAAAAATGTTTTCTGTTTAAGGATTTGAAGCCTTTCACTTTTGTAAATCCAGGAGTTCAGAAAACAGAGAGGTTTTATTGCTCTCAGGGGTTGGAACTCCTTTGCTGTGGCCTCAGTTTGATATTAATCTGTAGATCTACAGGCTCCTTTATTTTGTTTCATTTGGGTGTTTTTTATTGTTTATTTGGCCTTTTTAACCAGTTGATTTCCTTGGTTAACAGTAAAATACTTGTTCCAGTGGGAAGAACAAGGTAACTCTGTGGTTCCTTTGGAACAGCAGGGGAGTGCTAAATCTGCTGAAATGAGCACAGGTTAACAATTAACACCCTGTGGATAACCCCAATTAATGTCCTGCAATTAATGTGAGGCAGTGGGTCACAGGGCAGGGACAGAAATCTGCCTTTTAAAAAGCAGAAAATTCTGCTGCAATTGCTTGAAATGATTCCTAACCTCTTGCAGGGGAAAACACCACTAAAAAAACACCACTGAATCTTCAGGTGTTGAAGTCTCCATCACACAGCGAGCACAGAGCCAGGGCAGAGTGGCCAGTGCTTGCTGAGGGAAGCCCCACGTGTGCAAGGTGCTTGCTAGCATGGAAAAAAATAAATTCCAGGATGTTTCCTTAGGGTGGGTTTGGGCTTCTCTGCAGACACAGAGGTGTTGCTGACACGGTGGGATTACATGGGTTGCTGTATCTGGTGAAAAATCCAGGAATCCATATCCAATAATATGAAATAATGTTTTATTA